ACTAACATGAAGGAGGGAAAACCTGTGCTTTCTTCCCTATCATGGCCACCACTTATGTGTTATATTCAGTAATGGTTTTGCATACAAATCCCATAAGCCTTAAGTCAGTTATTTAACAATTTAGAAAAGTTTAGGTACTTTGCTGGTTTGTTGGCTACTGGGTTCACACCACTGAAAAGTCACGCAGGTGCCTTCTCACAGAGGCTATTTCTGACCAACATAGTTCCAGGGAGTGATGCACACATACAGGCTTAAACTACCCTGGAAACAACTAAAATGAGATTCCTCACTTGATGAAGGATGCATTTGCACTTCCCTCTGAGCCTCATGTATCAAACATCAAGCAGCTGACAGAAGATTTTCTTTTTTCTACGATGTTGCAAATCATCTGCAGGGGGAAAAAAAAAAAAAAAAAGTTTCTCTTTCAAGATCAGCATTCCTTAGCCAGACTTTGTCCCATTCACATAAGACATACCTCAGTTTAGGAGGAACCTAAAGGGCTGCCTTCTAAAAACATAACAAACATGATTATTTTTTAATCAGTGTGTCATATGAGCTAAAGAAATCTCCTAGAGGTATATTTTAAGATAAATTGCTGCAAGCCAGCAGCACCTTTGGTGTTTCTATTGAAGAGGAGGAGGTGGGGAGTTTAGGTGGCCAGGTGGGAAGTTGAGCATCGCCAGGAGTGTGCAGGGGGCAAAATAGCAATCATGACTATGTTCAACAAGCTTTGACCCTTGAGGCAAACAAAACAGCCCAAGCTCTCCACCTGAAAGATCTACTGTGTGCTGGCCAGAAAAATGCCAAGAGCCATAACCATTGCTGATGTGGCCTTCTGTCACATTTTCTTTGCTCTGACCACAGAAGTTTCCTTCCGAGGATATCAATCTTAGCAAGACTCATAGCGAATGTGCATGCCTGTGTGTCTGTCCTTGGGCGAGACATGCCCTCACAATGATATTTATCACCTGCTACATCTGTAGGAAATCAGCTTTCACTCAGGGTCTCTATATAACCAAATCCAGCTGCTCACAGGCTGAAAATGATTCATGAAAAGATTAGTTTCCTGTGCTTGATCTCCCTTCCTGTACCAAAGAAATGTTCTTCTCAGAAGTTGAAATGTTGTGCTGATGACATTGGATTTCCTTGAATTGGACCTAATTAGTGTGGTACCTTGCCAGGCATCCTGGGATAGGCCCTCCCTTTTGACCACAGCAATATTTGTATTGCCTTTCCTAACCACAGAGAAACAGACCTTTTATAGAGCCCAAACCATGACTTGTTATAGTCATGTTCTTAATTTGCAGAGCCAGTAAAGCTGTTTCAAAGGCCTTTGCTACTGTTTTAGTTACCTTCCTGAAACAAGAAGCTTGGATCTATTGATTCCTCTTGTAACAGTTCAGCAAAGTGATTGTCATGAACTAGAAGCTATAAATGCTCATCTTCAAAATCTTTTCAAAGAAAAAGCAGCCCAGGCCCTTACAGGATTCCTACCACTCTCCTCGATACCTGCATATTCTGTAAGATACAGTTTGGGAAGCTGAACGCTGATTTCCCCCAAAAGTTGAGGAACACACAAAAATAGGTTGTAGCAGAGCTTCCAGAGCTGCATTCAAATGAGCCAGCTTATGTCAAATTCCCTATTCCTCACATGCACTCCCAGGCTCTGCCAGGAACACCATGGTTAGGGGAGCTGGCAGGCTTCTGTTGGAGATGTAAAGACCAGAAGTTCTCAGGCATGGCTGGTGCATGTGGCTACCCACTGCAGGAGACATTCATAAAAACATTCTGACATTCTGCTTCTATTATTCTGCTCTTTCAACTTTAGGATACAACTCTAACATGCACCACGATGTGAGTGAGAAATCACAGCAGGTTCTAGACGGATATAACTCCAGGCTTTGCTGTCATAAAACATCAAACCCTGTCAGGGCCAATATGCCCCAGGACTGCAAAGTTAAAGCAAGTCATCACCTGCAATCAATACACATGAGAGCGCAACACATCTACACTATAACCTGCCTGTCTTCATCTCCCAACCTGACTGATCCATTAACATCTGAGGTATCTTGATGTGAATCTGAACTAGTTCCCACATGTACCCCCAGGGCTTATGGAAGAAGGTCTCATGTGATTTCTGTAGTGGTCTGAGCCTGGTTGGCAGCCAAATGCCACGCAGCTGCTCACTCCTCCCTTTTCTTCCAGCGATGAAAAGAGACAAATAAGCTAGGCTTGGGATTTGAGATAGAACAGGGAGGGGTGAGTCACCCATTATGGTCACAGGCAAAAGGCAGACTTGTTAGAGGAAGAAAAAAAGAACATAATTTATTACAGACACTAACAACACTTAACAGAGTAGGACAGTGAGAAGCATTGCCACATCTTGAGAACACCTTCCCCCCACCCCTCCCTTCTTCCCGGGCTCAGCTCTGCCCCCGATATCTCTACCTCCTCCCCCAGTGGCGCAGGGGCAGGGAATGGGGGGTGCAGTCAGTGCTGCTGCTTCTTCCATCTTCAGTGGGGGGAGCTTCCGGAACTTCTCCCCCTGCTCCATCGTGGTCCCCCTCTCACAGGAGACAGTCCTCCACAAACTTTCGTTGATGTGAGTCCCTCCCATGGGCCACAGCATTCCCCACACTGCTCCGGTGTGGGTCACTAACTTTCTCCAACTGGATTCCCTCCCACGGCTGCAGCCCTTCCCGAGCTGCTCCGGTGTGGGACACCCCTGCATGCTGCAATCCTCCCAGTGCTCAACTACGACAGCGGAGCTACCTTTTCCCACAAGGACCTGGCCTTCTTCAGGCACAGCACCTTGATCAACCAGGTGAAAAACACAGGCCATAAATCAATGCCTGCTCCACTACAGATCTTCATGGGTGGCAGGGGGGGCCGCCCTGCCGTCTCACCACAGGATACAGGGGGGTCTCTGCTCCAGCACACCTCCCCCCTCCTTTCTTCCTCCGTTCCTCCACTGACCTTTGTGTTCATGCAGCTGCAGCAACTCCTCCTCACCAGTCCCACTGCCCGTCACCACGTCCCTTCTTAAATACGTTATCGCAGAGGTGCAGCTGGTTGGCTCAGTTTTGGTGCAGAGGTGGAGCTGACTTGGAGCTGGGGGAGCTTCGAGAAGCTTCTCACAGGAGGCCGCCCCTATAGCCCCCTCCTCTGCTACCAAAAAACCCCACCACTCAAACCCAGGAGAGATTCCCACCAGAAGCCCTCCAAGACCCGCAATGAGATGCATCTCCTGGTGGTTGCTCCCACCACAGGAACCCTGCAGCACCAGGGCCGAGCTGCCACTTCTTCGCCCCTTGCCAGTGGGGACCTTTTCCAGCAGAACTCCATTAGTGAGAAGGAACTAATGGACAGGAGCAGCCAGTGACAAGAGCAAACACCAGAGTGGGCTGGAGAGACATCTCCCAGGACAGGCACCTCCACCACCACCAGCAGCACTGTGCCTCAGCTCCCACCCTCCACCAGACCAAATGCAGCCCCTGTTGGTGCACCTCTAGGCCGTGGTAGCAGTGAGGATGCCAGCGGCACCAAGAAATCTTTTTCCTCCTTGTAACTCTCACCTTGGAAGATGACAGCAGCACAAGACAACTCCCCCTTCACTGAGAAACCTCCTTCCCTGTGCTGGGAATGGCTGTGCCTTTGGGAAGGCAGAGCACAAAACTCACAGATGGCCTTCTTTCTCTGAAGGCCTTTTACTCACCTGTTTCCCCCACACTACAGAAATCGGTCCCCAGGTGGTGCTAGAGGAGTAGCAGGAGCTGGAACACTTGCTTGAGAAGTACAGGAAAGAGGTTTCCCTTTCTTGCGTTAAAAAAAAAAAGACTATACATTGTTTCTGTGATTGCTCTCCTGATGCAAAACCACATCCAACCCTTACCTAGAAGACTTAGCACTGCTCCCGAGATCATATCCCAGTAGGTTTCTGCACAGCAACAAAATACACTGTGAAGGGGCATTGCTCTGCTCTTGTTAATTTTGAATTCTTTTGCTTGGCAGTTCGTAGTAACATCCCTTGTTATTCATCTCCTCCCTACTGAGCTTAAACAGTCCAAGCCGTTCAGTCTCCCAAAAAATCCTTTTCACACCTTTGCTAGGCTCTGATCCTTAGAAAGTTCAATAACTGCAGCAGAAAGGCTGGTCCCTTGTTAAACTGACTGCAGAGCTACCAAAGAATTTTATAGGATTCTCTGTTATTCTGGCATTGTACTGAAACTTAACTCACCTAAGCTACTGCCTGTGGTTCTGGAGATTTAGTTGATGTGAGGAGCTACTTGCTGCTCTGCACTTCCTCCTCTTCCTTTGTGACATTCCCCAGTTGAAGCTGGAGGAAAAATCACATTATTATTTGATATATATATATATATATATCAAATCATATATATATGAGACACCAATCACACAGATAAGAATGTCCTCCCTTCAGGGTGAGCACACTTTTTTTTTTTTTACCACGTGAAAAAACACATTGGACATCTCCTCTGGGGATGAGGTGGGATTTTATTATACGAAATACCTTTTGCCTGAAGGTCAGCAGAGATAACTGCTTCAGTGTAATGTGGTCATCTCTCTGGATGAACAGTCATACATATATAAATACATACTACAATCTATAGATACTTCAGAGAAGTATATCACTTCAAGTACAATGGCTATAGGAGCTCTCCAAGATACAGGAACATGTATATGAACAAGACTGTACATTGCAAAAGACACTTGGGCTCCTATCCTCCAACCAACCTGAATTGAATGGAGATGCTGGTAGAGAATTCAAATTATTTCCTTTTCAGTCCTCTCAGCTCACATTAAGCCCATCAAAGGCTTAATGTTCTCTTTCAAAACTTGTCTTTTTTTATTTATTAAAACTTTCACCTTTAATCCTTATAAGGTCACTGATACAGCCAGAACTCACCAGAGGGGGGAAAAAACAAAACAAAACAAAACAATAAAAACCCCAACTTTATTTCTTAAGTTAGTGGAAATCAGACTGTAAATCTTTCAATATTTATTCCTTTGATTACCACCACAGTTATTACATACTAGTGTGGATGTCACATCTAGGGCTAGAGGAAAGACAAACAGAAAATGTTTTTAGATGTAATGAGGGGAGACTTTTGGGATTATTTTTTTTCCAGAGGTACCAAGGCTGATGATTTTACAATGATAGTGGGCCCCTTCCTTTGCCTTAGTGACACAGCTTTATCCTGAGCTAAAAAGCTTCTTCTTCACTTGCAAGTAGGGTATTTTAAAAAAATACTAATTAAAGACCAGAAATGCAAATACTACGCTTATATTGCCTTGCATAACGCCTGCTGAAAGCAGAAATCATCTTCGTGACTGGAGGAAGCATACTGCTTATTCAGCAAACATAATAAGATATAAAATAGTATTTCCTATTTTAAATCAGTAAAGCACATTTAGGCGATTGGCACAAATGAAATGTCAGCAGTTTAAATTATACAAATTACATGGATATTCCTGTTCGTTTCCCAGAAAGGACACAGAGGTTTCATGAACCAGAATTTTAGTGTAAAAAATAAATAAAAGGATTACAAATATCTAGGCACATTATACAACACAATCCACTAATGCTTTGAAAACTTCCCTCCCCTATGACTGTGAACCAGTAATGATTATTTAAATAAATAAATAAATACATAGATACATAAAGGAAGATTATATTAATAAACCTAACTCTCCTTGTACTAGGGAGAAAACCCATCGTTGAGGAGTTCTTCTGATACAAACCAGAACAGCCTGCTTGTGTTTGGGAAGAACCACCCACAAAAGCATTTTTTTTTTTTTTTTTTTTTTTTAAGTGTACAAATTCAAACTCAAGAACAGCCACAGCTCAAAGAAGGAGCTGGATTAATGCTAGGTTTTGTTCTTTCCAGACCTCTCAAGTCCAAACTGCTGGATTCCCTGCTCAGCACCAGCAGGCCTTGCTATCCAGAGCTTTTTCCTCCTGCACAGCTGTAAGCATCAGGCGACAGAAGGACACACATTTTAATTATTTGTCCTTCTGCCAAATTCTCACCATTTTGGATCAAGGCAGGTAAAACCAGCACAATAAAGATGTAAACTTGGGGAACAATTCTGGGAGCCTTTCAGCACTCATGTCAGGAGGAAAGACAGTTTTGCTGCTGCCCTGACACTGTCCCCTGCTCCATGATAGGGTGGCAGACAGAAATGGCCCTCACCACTTCTCTGAGAAATGCCACATCTCAGAGAAAGCAAAACTCAGATCATGTTCAAGTCCTGCTCATAGTCACATTCTTGGAGTTGGAAAAATAACTTGAATGAGAAATCAAATTTGAACTTGATCTTCTCATTTTCTCTAATTGTTCTGCTCATAAGTGTTTCCAGAACTGCCACCAGCACTGGTTTTCCTGGGTAAAGCCACGATTCATAAGGGGAACAACCGAGTCAGGGCAGCTTTTGCCAGCTGTGACAAACACGAGGGCTACCCTGTGGTTCCTCACCCGTAGCCAACTCTCACATCCTTTTGCCAGCAACATAGGAAATTATTGCCTGTGTCCCTGAAGGATTCTTCCAAGGACTCTGCTATCCTCAGCTTTCTCCTTTAATTTCACAAAAAAGAAAACAAAACAAAGGACACTTGAGGTAGAAAAACATTTGATTAAACAATTAGTTGAAGTGCTGTGATGCCTCACTGCTACCAGTACCTGGAACACAATACAGCGATTTAACTGCTTCCTTCCCTACTCAAATTATGCACCTGCAAATGTGCCATGACTGCTTTATTATTGGCTTTACTCCATAAAGACAACTAGTTCTTGGGTGAGAAAATAAAAGTATTTCCCAGCTACGTATATTTGGAAACACCAACACACCGATATCCTGAAAACAGAACTAGCCAGACTAAGCCCTTATAAATATAAACCTCATTTCCATGGCCACTGACAGCATACTGAAGTTGCTGGGTGAAATCCTTTGAGCCAGACTATGCGGGAAGTTGGAACAGGTGACAGAAGCTCAGAAGAAATCATCAGGGAGTATGAATTAAATCTGCATTCCTAAATCTCGTTAGTTGTTCAAAGCAAATACAATCAATCTCTTCTGTCCCTTCTCCTTGTGCATTTGCTCACTCCCCTGGCCCACCAAATATCACCTTATCTAGTCACCATCACATACATCTATCTCTCTCCTTGAATCTCTTTACCACACTAGAGTCTGTCTCAAATCCTTTCTGGTATTTCGCCCGGGAGAACTGGGCTGGGGAAAGGGGAGGCTTTTATAAAGGTAACATTAAGGTGCAATTATGCCTTATTAAGGGATAAGGAAGAGGTGAAATTATCATTTCAGCTCCTTCCCTGCCCAGGACTTATTTCATACCCAATCATGAACTTGGCTCATTTTGCAGTCACGCATTTTTGGTCATAGACCAACAGCAAGAAACTGAAGTGGCCAGGAGCTCCCTGATAGCAAAGGAAAAATGAGGGGAGACACCCCGACGGGCGGCGCAGGCCCGGCCCTGCCTGCGGGCAGAAGGGGAGCGCTGCCCGCCGGCGCCTGCGGCCAGCTGGGGCCCTGCCAAGGCAGAGCCGCTTGCCAGAAGCGGCCCGCTCCGACCCCAGTAGCACACCGAGCGGGCACCAATCCCCACATCATCTTTGTGTGCCTGCGAGATGCCTGCTGGGCTCCGGGGCGGTGGAAGAGGTGGCCGATTAGTGTTACAGACACTAACACCAGCCTAAGTTTTGAAGCACGTGCCCCGTTACACGCTGGCTTCAAGTATCTGTGCCGTGGCTCATGTGCTGAGGCTTTTGGGTTTCAACATTTCAAATTAAAAAGCTGCCAGGGGAAAGGTTTATTTCTCACTTGAGAAACTGGAAATTGTCACGCTTAACCAAGCCCCTGGGGACAGCATGTCCCACGCTATGGCCGCAGTCACACCCCTCACAAGACATACACAAACCCTATGGCTTCGCTCTAACTCTAACCGAAGGGTACCTCAAACTTCAGTGCTTCCAAAACATCGTTAGCATTTGCTGCCATAACTCAGAGACTCGTTTCACATATGATGACTGAACACCCTCTTAAATCTTGATAAATTCTTGGCCTTAAATGCTTTGAATTTCAGTTTCATTGCGTCCTTGCGGTCCTCAGTGCAAGAGGAATTGAAAAGCTCCCTCTCCACTTTGTATCATACTCAGTCCTACACATAACACGTGTCACATAAGGCACAGCATGAGTGTAATGAGCTGAAAAGTGAATGTTTACAAAAATTAAAATATTTAACTGCCATTCCTAACAGTAACAAACAACAGGAAAGTGCAACAGAAAAAACACTTCTATATAATAAAAAAGGTCAGTGAAAATGGAAATGGGGTGAGTGCCTACCACCACTGATGACTTTTCTACCCCACATATCTCCCCCTTTTGAGACTGCAAGGTTTATGGGCCACCTCTCCTATTCTCCCCACCTATTCATACAGCCTCTCACAGGACAGAATCATAGATACAAAGAAAAGAAATTCTGCTGCATTATAGAGCCACTCTATAAGCGTTTTAAAGATAATTAATATTGTACATGTTGAAATTACTCCATAATCACAACTTTTTGTTCAATAAAAATTAACTGTCATAATTTATGCTTAGTTCAGTAATTACAAAAAGCTGCATTCTCCTCAGTGACTGCACACAATTATTGGTAGAAAAAAAAAAAAGATAACAGCAAATTTCTGAAAATTGCATGAATTTTTCACCACTTCTCATACTGAACTGTATTTTCTATGTAATTTGCCTCCTGCTGCTGTCTAATTTCCAATAAGGTTACTGTGAATTGTTCAAAACTAGATCTCAAACTGAGGAGAGGCAGAGCACACGCTGGCATGATTTGAGAAGTTTGGAAAATCCTGCCTGGCCTGGACTGCATTGCCAGCGCCATCGGCAGGGCTCCATGAGAACAGAGCACCAGAGTCCCCACGCTGCATTTCTCAAGTGAGTTCTGCCAGAGCTCACAGGGAAGGCCAGAACAGCCAGGTTGCCACTTCACACCCTCTTAAGGTGGGAAGTGAGGGCAGGCTCCTGATATGTATCATTAACCTGGAAGCTCTCTGAAGAACAGGGCATTATATACTTTCCCACACAGCAACCTGCAGGTAACTCCTTGACACCAATCTGATTCTAGTCCAGCTGCTGACATTTCTAACAGAGAAAAATAAAATTTATTTGCCCTGAACTCCTATTTATTATAAAATTGCATGTCTTTATTTTTTCAGAACTAAGGCCTTTTATTGCATTTTGCATCACCATTCAAATTCAGGAATAAAATGCATACACTGAACCACGATGCATTCTTGACTGCAATATCTGAGCAGTTTACAATGTCTGATCTAGACACACGAACTGCATGAAAACCATTATTGCTGATGATGGAATAGCTCCATCTTCTGGAATAAAAGTTATTTTCTTGACAACCATCTTTATATTTCTAATATGGATCTATATGTAAAAACTATTTCAAAACCTAACGAGTATTTTTACTGATGGAAGGTGGGTCTTGGGTGGAAAATGGGAGGAATTAAGGATAACAGTGTGATTTCTGATAAACTTTAGGAAGTATTAATTATTTTCTAATGACATTGAAAACACATGTCCATTTTTCAACATGCCATATGAAAAACTGACCCGATTATTTAAGTAATAGCTGCAATGTGATTTTGAGAACAAGAATTTAAAGTCTGTTTAAGGCAAAGCACTCAACACATACTTAACTTTAGTCCCGATTTAGGGTACTTTAAGCTTCAAGTTGAAAGTCTGTAGTTTTACAAAAGTGTGTTTGTGGTTAAACACTGTTGTAATCAGAGAGTGATTGAAGCCCCTGCTGAAGTACTTGAAGTCTGAACTATAGAGAAGGGGCTGCAAGTGATTTCTTACTGCTATTTATCAAAACACTTAAATGTATGTTTCAATGAAGTATTTCAAGTTAAGCACATGATGCATTTTAGGCAGGTAATTAGTAACGACGACTCCTATAAGTAAAATTTAACTTATGGTCAAGTCAGGTGTTCAGCTGAAGATACCAGAACAAAACCATGATTACAATTCCTGATTTCATCACTTTTATGTATCATGGGCATATTCTAAGGCTGTTGCTTTTAAAAAACAACTGTTAATTAACTAAGTTCTTTTGTATTCACTCCAAAGGGAAAAGAGCATCAAAGCTGTTAGTGACCTACTCACTGGTGCTGTGTAGTATTTCTTGATTTCACAGGAAGGGTAGAGCCACCAGAAAAAAATGGAATATTAAACATGTACATCTCCATCTAGTTTTAAAGCAGTGACATATCTAAAGTTAATACATACTCACGGACACACAAGAATAGTGGAAATTTAAATAAACTTTGCTTAACAAAATGAAGCAACTGCAGCTTTATTTCTCTATATAGAAAGTTGTATCCCTATGTGCATTCTTTTAAGCTAAGGAAAATGAAAAAGCCATGCAGCCCTTGCAAGAAATCAATCCTCAGGTGGTAGTATATATACATAGAAAGTTTCCCCTTTAGTAGATGATTGCTCCCAACAGATGTTCAATGTCATTTAGGAGAGCCAGACTCATGACTACTTTATAGTAGAATATTCTACTACATTTTTTTCAGTACAATAGCAAAACCATTCCATGAACCACCATATTGCTCACATCAGTTAAACAAGAGCAAGTAACAAAACTTAAGCAGCTAAACCTATAATCTGGAAATCAGACTCCTTATGCAAAGTAAGCACAATGAAAGGATATAGAGCAAATGAAAGGACTTTTCTTAAAAAAAAATATCTTTCAACTTTCTGCAACTTCACATCTCATATGGCTTTTGAATGGAGGCATTAGTTAAAAGAATTTTCCCACCCATAGTCAAATATTGACTGTAATTAAATACAGCAATGCAAGGACAAACAAAAGTTAAAAATTTAGCATACCATATTACTTTATGTAGTACAGCATAAAATCCTTTTTTCTAAGGCTACGAAGGACAGATTTACAGTAATATGAGGTACCAGTATTTATGGTCAGAAAAGTAAAGATGGAAAAGAATTATATAGCATTGTCATCAGACGTTTCTTTTCTCTTTTCCTTTTGTTTCTTTTTGAGAGGTTTTTGGTTTTCTTTTTTTACAAAATACGTGTCTTGATGACCACATGCTTTAAGCTTATATTCATTTATTTTTTTTTTTAATATATATATATATATATATTTTATTTGTAGGGGCAATTGAGAGAGAGTCACAAATAAGGAAAGGACACTAAGGTTTTAATAAGGGCAACAAAAAAATGTTTTCACCAGAATAGATTCACATTACAGTACACCAATATTGACAGCATTCTCTTTCGTCTATTTTTGGTACATAAGATGGAATCTCTCTACATAACCTTATAAGGCTTCAGTAACTAAAAAGTAAAAAACCTATTAGTTTACAATTTATTTAAAAATTCTGAAAGACACAGCAAGTTCTAAACTTTAGTAGTGCTACCCATACACAACCATCTGGTTTAAGAACCCATTAAAAGAGCCTCCTTTCAAGGGAGCTTCCAACAGCAGAGTTGTGCAATATGGATGTTTCTTACTATAAGGGAAAAAAAAAAAATTACACATGGCACATTCTCATTCATATTTTGCAATGTAAAAAGTTACAAACATACCTAATCAAATAAATAATTAAAAAAAAAATAATCTGAAATGTGTTTGTTATGTATCCTAAAACCACTATGAAGAATAATGGAAACTTTCACTCACAGACTATTTACATGGTAATACCCAGGTGAGGGTACACGTTGCTACAAAACTCATAAAACAAAGGGTAAACTTGAAATGTTTTCCATAGTAAAGGTCTAGCAGCATGACTATAACTAATGCTGTTTGTTTTCTTGATGGTTTTTGGAAGTTTGTTTTAATCTATGTCTTCATCCAGTTCATAATTGTCTTTATCATAAATATCTTTTACTAAAAGAACCCGTACGAGCATATTTTCTAAAGTGTTGCGGTCCAGTGAAGTGGCAGTGTACCAGATGGGACTCTCCGCAGAGACAGAGCACTCTGGTTGCAGATAGAACATATCCGTCCTCTGATTCAGATTCTGTGGGCTACAAGTGGAAAACACGAGGAGGTTAGAAAAACAGCCTCACAGGACAAAACAGTACCTTAGCAGTTCCAACATCCTGCATAAATGAAACTCTAACTGTACCCAGGCAGATTACAAAATAAAGATTTATGTGGAGAAATGCCGTCTTGTTCATAGAAGGAACTGTGTCAGGTCTGGCCCAAGTCCAGCCAGTCCTGCGTCCTCAGAGCAGCCAAAAACAGACACCTGGGACTTAGCAAGCATACAGGAGACCACAGACCCTTCCAGCTTTCAGAAATTTGCAGATCCAAGACTTGCTAAACCACAAAGTACCTTCTATCTATTTAGGAAGCCCTGATCGACAGATTTGCAGAGAGGCCCAACACTGACATAAGTAATAGCACCGTCAGCCAGTGGTGCAAGCCATCTCTGAATGTAGAGCCTGGGGTTTCCTTGAAAATCAAGGACAGTAGTTCTGAGAGATGCACAGAAATACAACAACAAGCTAAAATCTCTCCTCCTCTTTTACTTAAAGGGTTGGTCATTACAAGTCTTATAATACCTTAATTCCTGACCCACTATACTTCGGAATTTGATCCAGCTCAGACACACCCTCTAAGCCACTAGAGAAGACCTATTTAAGGAAATTCTAGTATTTTCTCCACTTAGGTAAGTCCCAGAAAATAATTTTCAATTCTGCATGTGCAAGAACTCAGTCATGCTCCCTCCTTCATAAATACTGCAGACTTCAGGAGTCAACTATATTCCTTGGCAAAAATAAGAATTTTTACAAGCTCATCTTCCCAAAATGGCTGATAAGATTTCAGTTGTTGCTCTTCACCTGCTGGGGTAAATGTTGGCTTGTTCTGATCTCACATAAATCAGATTAAGAGTCAGATAAGCAAAATACGATTGCTTAAAATATTCTAATAATTTAAATACTTTAAACTCCTTCCTACTTTTTTGACAAGCCAGCATTTTTATAGGAACAAACAACGATACAGTGTTCATAGCTGTGAATGAGAGGATCCTGAAATTGCAGCTGCAACTGTTCACTGATTGCTAAGTGTATTTCTAACAGCTGTCATTAAAAGCTAATGTAAAATTTAATGTAAAGTGTTAAATATTTTATTAAAATTATTTCATCAAAGACATGAGTTATATGTTATTAGAAGTGGAACCAGGAGAAGCAGTCTGCTGGTCTAGTTAGCAATGGTGATCAGTATCTGCAAGACAGTAGGACTTGAAACAAACCCATTTGGAGCATCGTTTATGGTGTTAAATGCATTCTTTTCCCCAAAGTTGAGAAGTTTCTAAAGAAAAAAGAAATTATTTGTTCTCTCCCTGTTACTGGCTGCGTAACTCAGTTCAAAAATCCAGCTTGAACTTTTTAATGATATACCTTCTACAAACCATGACAGTAGGTAGTGTGAAGGCAAAAAACCCCAACTCTGCAACAATCAGAATTAACTGAGCTGATGAAAACAGGTGCTTGCATTAATAGACCCCATTACTCTTCACTTGTTTCTCTCTATAACATCACATACTTGCACTGTCACCTACATTCCTACATTGTGCACAAGCTCTTTCTTCAAGTTTAAGAGTAAGATGCTGTTTCCTAACAGGTTTGGTCTCATACTCCATTTAATTTATTATGTTGTATATACAATGTTATTTTACTTCTTTGGTATCACTTGCCTATGTAACAGAGTTACATAAAATCTACATTAAAATCAGTTGCTTGAATGGCTGTTCCAATTAAAGAAAAGTATTTACCATGAAATCATGTTTTCAAACACTTCCAAAACACTCAGCTGGTAAATTAAAATGTTTTAAAGAGTTGCCTAAGCTTTTATTTTTAATGTATTAGTTTCTGTATGGATCGGAAGGAAACTATTTCTAAATGCTGGGTTACTGTCAGTATTATTTTTTCTGCTACAAAATATTTTAAGCATGCCTTCAAATGAGGTATCTCAAAAGCATATACATTTCAGATACCTGATGACTTAACATGAAATAAATTTATTGTCTCAATCCAGCTCTTACTGAAGAGACAGAGACCTCAGTAGCAAAACCTACCATATCCCTTGCCGGTAAGTCTCTGCTGAGATAGTTGGTGTTTCTAGGTAAGAAAATTGAATCATACTGTCATTCCCAGATGGAATCCTTGGCAATTAACACTGAAGTACTCTGCTGCTCCCACGCTTTCTGCACATCTTGTCATACAAGACACAGAACTGGAGATTTCAATGTTTTCATTTAGCTATTTTTCAGAAGATCTCAGTCCACTTCCTTTGCTTGAGCATATTTCATGTTGCATCAAAACATTTCCCTTTTGTACCTGGTTTACTCTAGACCACTTCTGTATTAACCTGTATCATGCTTACCTTTTAGACAGATAGCACTCAAATATTTTCACAGGGCATCTAGCTGGATCAGACGTGTTTTCGATTTGTTCAAATACTGGTTCATCATCTTCGTGTTTCCTTTTTCCAGTAGTAATTTTATCTTTAAGAAGAAAATCAACAACAACTAAGCTATAACTTGAAATTATTTTACATTTTTCAGTAAACTTCCCAGAGTGGGCAGCCCACCAAGTACTGCCATGCAGTTGCCACAACTATTGCATATCTCCAAACTGAAAATGCAACTTGCAGCCACAACAAAGTCACAACATTCAGCATGGAGACTAGTGGGCTCAAAGGGATCGTTTAATGCAGAGACCCTGTAGTCTCCATGGACCATACACTTCAATTAAAGATCTGGGAGCCGAGAGCTGCTAAATTTTATGCAAAGGCCGACCTCTGGCTCCTGGCAAGGTGCCCAGATGTTCCACAGAGGAGCACAATGTGGATGCTGCTGCAATAGTTATTTTGGAACTGCCACAGTACCTTCACTATCAGCTCTGCACAGGGAAGACACTTGATATCGAAGACAAGCTTTGCTTTCCAATGTTAGAGGATTTTTTTTCCACTGCCTAAAAACAGTGCCAAAAGAAAGTCTTAAGTGCTGCTCCACTGTTTTCAGGCCAAAATACTTAGTGTTAAAGTAGAACAGAGTATTCAGAAGAGCAACTGGTGAATGTGATCCTAGCTGTTTAATCCTCCAAAGGTAATCTTCTTCAACTCGAGAGAATATTGATCCTTTGAAAATAGAATATTAGAAAAAATAGTGGATTAGCCCATAAACTGTCCAGGTGCAAAAGAATCAAGTTTATGTTTACTGTAAAATTTAATAAAATGCTCATGACAGAAGTCTCTAATAAGCATATTCAATTATATATCCACATTCTCAAAACCATGTCTTAGGGACACAGACACTCACTGCCTCAGGAAGAGACAGTCAGTGGGAAATATCAGTATAGGCAATTTCACACAGAACACATTTCTGTAATTACAACAACATTGCTTACATGCAGCTCCCTCATGTTATTACATAAAAACATTCAATGGGCTAATCTTAAACCCTACACATAAAAAGCGCATTTTCTAGTTCATTTTATTCTGCTCAGACAAGGCTTCCAAATAACTATACCTCCTTCTTTCTTATTACTGATGGATATCTCACTTGGAAAGCACTCCTGGATCATAGCAGGGTATATGGAGGGCCTTATACAGAGGCTTTCCAGAGCTATGCAGAGAAAAGCCAATATCAAGAGGGAAGAGCAAAAAGGCTGGTAAGGACAAACACTCATTCAAGAGAGGATTCTGAGAAAGATGGAAGAACAGTGGATTCTGCAGTTCAGCACCAACATTGATCTGCCAGGGAAAATTCCTGTTTTCTCCATGAACTGACAATCCTCTTGAGCAGAAGGCCCACCAGCAGAAAGTCCTCCCAACTCAGCTGAGAAAGACTTAAATACATAGCTCATTAGTCCTAACGACACAAAGCCCAGTGCCTACCTGCCAGCTTCCCATCTGGGAAAAAAATAGGCAAAAAATATATTCAGCTCAGGTAAAAATTACAGGTTGAAGAGCAGTTGTTTATTCTAACTTTTTCTCCTAAAAATGGATAATCAATTTAAGATTAACAGGCAGTGTCAAAATCAAGTCTTGCAGCATGGATTACCAAAAAACAAGACAATAAGAACAGTTACAGTCTTGATTGAACTCTTAGATGATATCTTTATGATTTTTGATCAATTTCTACTGCAATACATGAAAGGTTTGTATATATCTACATGCTTAAGAATACAGAACTATTAAGAGATGAAAAACATACATGACCAAAAAGAAAATTACCATCTGGAAGTATGCTTGGTTGCCAACTTCTAAGGATTTTATTTAGTTCCTGTTCAAATGTCTGGTAGATAGGATCAATAAATATGTTGTCTTTTCGGTTACTTCCATATAAATACTGCAGAAGAGAGACAGACAATATGTACAATTCCAGATTAGAACAAATCCTATGCTAAAAGGTTCTTTTTCAGTACAATGCTTACACTTTTATAAAAAAAACAGTATCTAAAAATAAAGCAATGACACTTTTCCAATATTTAGCAATTAAAAGTTACCTCCAATATAATGTATGTTGTAAATTTCTAACTGGGTATGAATCATAGATTAATTACAACTCTGAAATTTTTCTCTAAAATTTCCTGTGTGCAACATTGTATCAGTGAATGGGAAGTCATTTAAAAAAAAAAACCCTAAGTAATTTATCTTTTCCTTCATCTAGGTCTTCAAAGAAAAAAAATACATTTAGCAAGAATCTGCCATTTTAAATGTGAACTCTGGACATTGATAAAAGCATCTTCAACACAGAAGTGGGAGCAAAAAAAAAGACCCGTATATTTGTGGTAATGATATGCAGCAGTGCAAGAAAAATTACAGGATGATGCAAGGCGCCTGCCTGTTCTGCAATCTAATTACCTTAACCCTCTTAACCTTACAGACAGAAACTCTTTTGAACCTTTACCAAGAATTAATGGCTGAGGGCTATACAGTATTTGACATTATCCTCTGTGGAAACATTTCTAAGAAATGGAGGATTGGGTTCTTAAATTTTCCATTTCAGTGTTATCTTTGCATGAACAAGCCTGTTGTTAGTGAATACAATAAAAGTGACAGACACAAAAAAAGTGTACTCACTTCTGGAAATAGCATCTATTTCTGTACACATACTTGAAATAACATTAAACACAGCACTCATTTATAAGAGGCAGTTCAGCATATCTTGACTTCCTTATCTTTGCACTTAGTTTTATAATAAGGAAAAATGAATGAATACACTTCCTAGAAGTCTCCCAACACAACATCTTAATTTAGGTAACTATTTTATACGATACATTTAACTAATTCTTCAGAGTACATTATTCCCCAAAATATGCTTATTTTTACATACATCAGATTCTACAGCAATTCCAAACCAGACAATACTGCTTACTATAAGCTTCATGGTTTGCCCTTCTACAAATTTTCTTTTTCTCTGGTTTGCATTACATACACTGAATGATGGCAGTGAAACTGAAGTAAGACTGAAAACTGCTTCAAAACCATTTCCCACACAAGCCTGTGAGAGCTCAACTAAAAATATTTCTGTTTCCTGGTCCAGAATAAGTGTTTGGCTAAACCTCAACATTCCCAGCAGCAATCTGTGAAGCACCCCGGACAATTAGCACCATGGAATCTACAGAAGAACGATGTTGTGTTGCAGTCTCCCCTGCTACACAATACCCAACACGCATCCGCAAACCTTCATTTCCTCACCAGAACGCTGTGCTCTACTAGTCTACAAACTCTGGCAGGAGCACGATTAGCATAAGCAGCTTCCACCTAACAGGAACTCTTCCAAAAATCGCAGTGAACATGAAGGAAATGGACATGCCTTCGAGTCCCACAGTGATGAACAGGCCAAATCACTGCCCACAGCACTTTCAAATATCTGCCAAGCTCCATCAGCCTGAATTTTGCCCAAACAACCCCATTATTACATGTGCAAAAAAACGAACAAATAAAAAAAACAACGCCAAATCTCCCAGTCAGTAGAGGGACACAGAATGAAGGCCACGAGGCAAGCTAACACCTTCTTCTAGATGAACTCTCTTCACTAAATGCCTGTCTGACCATGCAACAATCTTTACTTTGAAGTGTGATATTTTTCAGGATCAGTACTTCAGAGTTATCAAAACCATTATTGAACCGTTTCTGGCTGGAAGGAGAACAATTTCAGCTGCAAATGAATTCGAACTGAGAAAATATACCATTTGACTCAGGGACCACTTTGATGGAACAGATTTTCCCAAGTTCTTTCTTTAAGAAAGAACAGTTATTTTACCAAGTCAAAAATATAACTTAAGACTTAAAGACTCCTGAGTACTTCCCCTGTGCTCAAACCATATTACACCCATGAAGAAAAGTCCCAACCTGAACCAATACTTAGCTACAGTGAATGCAGTAATTCTTGTGGAGGGGGAAAGTGCTCTTTTTCTAACCTATGGCTTCCACATTCTCTTCCTTTGAAAAGAAACTTACTCTAAGTTAGCAAAATAATGATGATTTTTGGCACAACTTCATCCTTATGTGGCACCATTTAGTCTCTTCTGAGCTCCTTCTGAGTTAAAAAGAGCCAATGTCTTTTATGCAGTAGCAGACAAATTATTCTTTCAGAAGTACCCACATCAGGGTTGTCAGAAAGGACTAAGAAAATACTAGAAGGCAACTGAGTTTTGTTACATGTTGAGAGAATTAAGTTGTTTAAACCTGCTTCTTCATAAGGGCAACACATACCCATATACATACAATTCCCCACTAGCATGCAGATGTTGGTTGCAACCCTTGGCAGCTTGCATGTTTACATGTTTCTGTCCCTCACTTGCTGTCTGCCTTTGTGAAATGCAAACTCCTCAGAACAGGGCACATCTTCCTACCAGTCTGAATAGCAGTGGCACAACTGGACAAGTGAAATGGGGCTGTTAACATCACCTGATTTAAATATTGGACACTAAGTATAAGCAATAATTACAGCAAAGTGACCACAAGTTGTTCCTCTAATCTTTCAGCATTTTGTATGTGTATTAAGGTCATGATAATTGTGTTGAGTCACACAAACTTTGGTTCTGATGAACTAAAGAAGTTTTATACATAACTAGCTTTCACAGTAGGCAAAATAGACAAAAGCACAAAAAGTGAAAAAAAGAAAAAATATTAGTTGAGTTCCATTTTATAAACACATACCTCATTCTGTGTTATCGTTTATCAGCTTGAGTATTTTCAATTCAACAGAAAGATACAGAGAGACAGTGTATCATGCAAGTGCAGAAGCAGAAAGCTAGCTGAATTTGAAACATGCCTTGTAGGAATATTAACTAAAATGAGAAACAATGAATGCTTGCTTCTCAAATTTCAACCATGAAGAGAGCAACTAACTCCTTAATTTTGCATATTTTCAATACAGAAAAATCAGTGGAGGTACTATTTATTTTAAAAAGATTTTGATCAAAATTTTATTTGATTCAAGTCCTCTCTCAAGTATGAAACAGTTGAAGCAGGATTGCAAAGCCTGTGAACAGCCTGGTTTCCACATACCCATTTTTTTTATTGCCTTTTAACTTGAATTAGATTTTCTGTTTTCTCAGATCTGAACACTGCTTATTTTATCTATGATTTGCCTTAGGTACCAAAAATTAAGACATCCTCTGCTTAAAAGATAGGCTGTGGAAGAGCTTTTCTAATTATCTAGTGATATGTTATTGCTTTCACATACATCTAAACCGACTCCCTTTATCTTTAAAATACAATGTAATTACAATTTGGGGGGTAGGGTGTTTAAGACAGTCAATAAGTTTCCTGCACTCTGCAAAAAAGCCTGACTGCCCACAGGCTGCAATAGTCAGTAAGTTAAACTCTCCCAAAAAGAAACTTCAAATAGCTTGTTTCCACTATATGCTAAGTAACCGAATTAGTAAAATATTTACAGATCATGCCTTGCTTCATTCTGTTTTTACATTAAGGCATCTTTAGCAAACAAAATGAAGCACAGCATTTGGAAAAACAGTGTTATTTTAGACTGCAAATTACTTGCTTTAACCCAGCAAGAAGCTTAAAATTATTGCAATATACCAGTCTGCATTTGAGTTTCTGGATGAGTCTGCAAACTCATTTCCTATACAGACAGCTTTCTGCAATGTGATTTACACAGCAGCCTTTCTGCATTCCAGATCATTGCCATTATATTAAGAATAGCTGCTAGCCAATAAATCCACATTATCTCCATTCTTCCACTGAAATGGATCACAGTCAAATCAGCAGCTCCACTTCCCACCTCTACAGCCTCTACTAACCTCCTGAATCCCAAGACACAGATAATAGATGCTGTCAGGTGCATAGTTCTCTCCATTTGGCCTTCGAATTTCATTGACAAAATGTGTCAACCCATAGTTTAACTCAGCTGAAGTATGTGATAATAGATCTTCCTTTAATTTCACAGACTTTGCTGTAAAATAGAGAAAAAATGCTACATTATACAACAGAATTATGACATGGTGAGGGTAGGATGGGGTATTTTCGGAACTGGAAAGCGGGAAACTGACTTGATGTCCTCTCCACTAATCAATGAACAAGTCTAAAAGTACTAAGCAGTTCAAGTCTTAGGTCTGTATTAAAATAAACAAGTCTACCAGAGTAAAGTCTAGTTAACCAAACGCAGTATCACTCACTGATGAATATGCGCAGCTGAGGATGACAAAGAAGTGGCCTAAGATGCTGAAGTAAAGACAGTGCTGTAGAGGGAGACCTTCAGGGGAAACAGCAGTTTTCAGAGACCCAACAGCATAACGGAAGAGTGCTAAGATGCACGTGGGAGCTGAAGAAGAGCAGGAGTAGCAGCAATCCCCCTTCTTCCTCAAAGTACAAAAGTACACAAAGAGGAGTGTTGCAGAAAGAGCAACGAGGCTCCACAGCAGCAAAGGCCACCTCGTGTCAGAGCTCCACAGCCAGGTAATGCCAGCCTCACATGAAGATCTCTTTCCAGGACAAAGAGTAGGATGCCCCACCCTTGTAATGTGGAAGTCCAGAAAAGGTGTGAACTCCAAGGCAAGTTAGCATACGAGGAAAACAGGATGCAAACAAAAAATCAAAATGGTCATGGAAAGTCAGAAGAGACAGGAAGGTGCTGTCCTGGCTTGCATAAGAAGTGTGAAACCCAGCATTTTGAACCAAGTAGGAAAAACTAGGAAAATGAGTTTGGCAACTCTGTGGTAAAATAATCCCAGTCATTGTGGTAACATTAGAGATGTGTGAAAACTTGTACTAAAAATTCCAGCTGAAAATCAGACAAGTACAGTAATTCTCCCTACCAACTAAGAATCTGGATGCCAGATTTTTGGAAATACTTACTTGATTTCAGTTCCTCTAATTCTGGAAGCTCTTCATCTAAATACCGAGACTTTACCCAGTGCTTCCATGCATTTACACCATACGTGTATTTAAATGGGAAACTACACTCTGAGTTTTCAGAGCTGTCATCGTGAGACTGGTATCCTGACACCGCTTTCCTCTTCACCCCCTGCCATTGAAACATATTGGTTAACACTGCTGAGAGCTGCTAACAGCAATAACACAAAAGCTGGGCAGAATAAGCAAGCTGCAGGCCAGATTACAATGTTCAGTGTAAAGAAACACATGCTTCATTCAATAGGTAGTTTCTGTGTTGAACATACTTCTAAGGACAGTATTTACTTAACCTGATAGACGTTCCTAATTCGTCTTTTAAACTGGTTCCTAACACAGAGAGAGTAATTTTTGGTAATGGTGTTGCTGTGTTGGTTGTATCATATTAAGCAACAAGCACATGATGCACCAAATAATTTGGTGTATATATTTCATTGTGTTGATTTCAATGTGTTTGTTTCATTGTGTTATTGTGCAGGAATTTAAAATGCTATAAATCTATGTCAGAAGGTCAACTTTTAGGCTCAACTGAACTTAACGGCAAAGCAAGCATTGGTCCCAAATTAAAGCATGTCCAGCAGTGGATACGTGGATAATGTTCAGCAGATAATACTGACAGTTTAGACTTCAAATTTAAGACTAGAAAGACACATTTATTCTTAGAAAGTTTTATTAGAAGTTGGCTGCTTTTTTTATAGCTGTGATAGCTACTGCAGTTATTGCAACAAAAATATTTCAGCTTTGTACCAGGCACCAGTAATGCTATGTCCTGCTAGTTCCCTTCTAAATAAAAGATTATGGCTAATTTATTTGCATTGTCTAAACTAAGATTTTTTTTTTTTGATAGAAAATAGAATCTGGAAAAATTACAAGCAAATAGAAATGTTTTTTTAAACTATTTTATGTAGAAGATGCTATAGCTCCCATTATAAGCCATGGTAATGCCCATATTCTTCCATTTTACTATCAAATTAAACCAAGATAGCTTTGTTCAAAGTAGAAGGTAGAAAAGCATTAACGAGAGTACAGTAAGTACATACACACTAGCACATTACACTAACACTTCTACCAGTGTGAAGTAAAATTGGGATCAGAATTTAGAAATAAAATTCCTATTAAATCTAAGTTAACTGCAACAGACATAGGACTGAAATAATTTTAATATTTGAAATATATAAATTTACATAACAAAGAATGAATATTAGGTATGAATAGGCAGGAACATGTTTTAGAGCAGTATGAGAACTGGGAAAAAAAAAAACTGGCATATTTTTTCCCACTTAAATTTTGTGCTTTTCCGATTTTTTTTTAACAGCATGACAAAATTACCTTTTTTTTGGACCGAGGCCTTGGCTGTTCCTCATATTCTTCCCCAAAAACAGGAGGTAACAAAAACTCATTTTCTGTATCAAGTTCCTCAGTTGCTGAAAATAAATTAACAGAAACTTATTTCTAAACATCTTTTGAATAATATTGGTTTGAAAAAACCAACAAACTGTATCATTGTGCATTAACATATATTGCCCACAAAAGCACACATGTAAACATTACGGAAGACTGGATTTCACTGAGAGGAAACAAACCTATTCTTATTTGAGAGTGAGGCAAAGCTATAAAAAGGTTTCTAAATAAATTGTGAATGACACAATGCTCAACATTTTCAAGCACTATCACAAGCCACTAAGGCATTTTTTACTATGGACCCTTATACTATTTTTCCTGCTTCGGTAGTCTTTGTATTAAGAAGTTTAAGTTATGGTGAGAATGAGAGGCTGTGAGTGGAAAAAATACAAATTAACTTACTACATACACTTTTGTTTATGTATTTCCATCATTTCTAGCCATGTGCTATATTTTATATACCACATTGCACTTGGTTAAAAACACTAGGAATTAGAATGTAAACTCTTTCAGAGAAACTTATTTTAGTCTATGTTTATACCAATAGTGGAAGTCTAGCTCATTATGGATATATACAGTAATTTCAGTAAACATATATACGGTAATATGTCACAATGCTATTTACTTAACATTTCATGGGTAGAATAAAAGAAACGTTTGAACAGATTTACTGTACCAAGTTCCACCTTTACTTACTTTGCCCAAGATGGTTCATTTCTCATTTAACCATCAAACAATGTCTTCATTCAAAACCCAATGCTCTTCTGATAATTAGTCTGATTTCACCACCTTACTACTCAAGACACCATTCAAACTGGTTCAGATGACACAGCACTCACACAAAGATTTAAGAACTCTGCCCCAGACTAAACACCAGTCATTCTCTTGCTATCAAAAGAATCTTACCTCAGGAGCACTTCAATATAACCAGTATCTATTACCAACTGCTTTTACTATTCCACGTTTTTTTTTCTTTCATGTTTTTTCTTTCTCATGTACCAAGCCTTGCTTATAAAAGAGGGCTAAAAATCTAGTATGCATCTGGCTAATAAACTTCCTAAGACTAAGGAAATCAGACTAATCCCTAGACTTGATCTTTAAATTAGACATACAGCAAACTGAGAAACCCAGGCTGGGCATCTAGTGCAGGTATCTATGGCACAAGGCAAAAGGAGACTTTCAATATTAGATATAGAAGCTATCCAGGGGAGGTCTAAGTTATATGTCCAAGAGAAGCTATGTCAAGGGGGACGCTAGCTACAGCTAAGAGCTTTCTTGGATCTTGGATTGATTAGGACATGGTATAAGAAAACAGACACTGTTGCCTGCATTCTGTACAGTGGTAGAAATTGTAATACATAAACCCAAGACCTTCTTTCAAGAAAAGCCTCAAAGTAGTGATTTACCTGCTAATTCAAGTAACGCTAGCTTTTTCAAATACAGGTATGGACATTAACAAGACACTAAAAGGTAACAGAAGTGATGTGTAGCATACCAGCTTACAATTATCTAACTAACTTGAGCGGGAAATTTGCTCTTTTGTCATTTCTGTTCTAAACCTTAATTTCCCATGGAAATACCTGGTGATTGAAGAATGCATTCATTATTGTTTTCCATGATGCGTGCCATCTGAGACTTTGACCCTTCAACATAGCTTTCCTAAATCCATGTCCAAAACCAAGTGATGCAGTCAAGTTTGTTTGTGAAAGGTTAATTCTCCCTTTTCTTTGCATTCTCTTTCAAATACTGTATTTAGAAAGATGGGAGAACTAATTCAGAAGCCTCCAGTCTTGCAAAGGCATGGCAAAGTTCTACCTAACAGTCAGTCAAGTAGATCTTGCAATCAAATAAAGCTTCTCTGAAAGGATGATGCAATGAAGTACAACGGTTGCCTATAATGCCTATTTCACAACATTTATTAAAATGACAAAAAAAATACCTCTTGGAAAGTCTATTTCAATATCAAGGTCTGGTTCATACGGAACATCAGGCAAGCTCGTCCGTGCCTCTGCTTCTGAGTTTAGTAGATTTGACTCAACTATCACACCTGTTAAAAATAAAATGTCTCATTACTTTAACCAACACATGGCTTAAACAAAACAGGGCAGATGTAGAATATCAGAAGCTGCATGATTCTAAAGCTGCTTTTTCTGCTCATCACCATCTTATGTCTTGTTGTTCTTGGGATCTCAGATTTACTTCTCCAATCTGATTTCCTTCAAACACAAAAGATACTTACTAGCCCACCTGTCCTTCTTCATTAAGATGAACCAGCACAGCACATGTATAGAAAATCAAATATTGGCAAATCTGGATCATATCAACCAATCACAGAACTCAAACAAGCTTGATAAACCTATCTATTTTTCTACATGATTATGCCTGCAACAGAACAGACATTCAAGCATCTGAAAGAGATCCTACAATAGCAACCCAAGCTGGCAGGAAGAAAGAAACAAAAGCTTGACCTCTTTCCAACTTTTGGGAAAGACAGATTTCTCCAAATTCAGTTCTTCACAAATGAGTCGGCTCTGATCCCATACATCTACTCATTTAGCTAGCTGTACTTAGCAAAAGACAGCAAGGATCTGCAAATTACAATCTTGCAGCACTACCAGAAATGTCCAGCTTTAGTGGGGGAAGGAATAGCAGCAGTCTGGAAAACAATAAGCCTCCTGGCTTCCTATATACCAGGCCCAAGGCATAAATTCATGTGATTTACCAACATTCTTTGAGACATCTGTTGAAAGAGCTTGAAAAAAACCCCAGAATTTTACCTGAGTCATGAAAAAACCTTAAAATCTATCTTTTGGAAGAGAAGGCAAATTCTCCTAGGAAGATACAGAAGAGACTTGAGGATTTCAGCAGGCAAAGCCAGAAAAAAGGGTGAAAGAGCACTGCGAAAATATCATTCCAGGACATGTGGGATTTTTTTGATCTTCAGCTGTAAAGTTGTCCCAGACAATTCTCTTTTAACATGAATTGGTGGGATGACAAGCCATTTCAGCATTACAACCCCAATGATCTATCAGCTGATACATTATCATCTTCAAAGAGATGGTACTTGCAGGTCAGGATCAATCAAGAGCAAAAGCATCATTAGGTCACCTGGCATTGTTAACCACAGTTCCACTTGCTAAACTATGTTTCTATTAGTTTTAACAGTGCCCGCTTTCCCACACCCAAAGTAAAGCGTGCTTACTAATGTGTTACCACAAAGAGATCAGACCCCTGTTACATCCCACCTTGCTCAGAGAAAGCTGTGTTCACACCTGTAAGACATAGCTACAGAGATTGCTTTCCCTGAACTTCTGACTTGAGTTTTTCTGGGAGGAAAAACTGATTGGTTTTGGCTTGATTGAGAAGAAAACTCGTGCCTGCAATCTTAGATGGCTGCTTGCCATCAGCCAAGCAGCTGGTGCAAGCAAAAGGCATGCCTGTGTTTTTAAAGACAAAGGTCTGGTACAGCACAATGAAGTCACACAACAGGCTTTAGAAAGTTTTCTGTATTTCAAATGTTCTAAAGTGACCTTTAAAAATGTTTAAATACTTAAGATTTCAACTTAAGTACTCAATAATAGTACTGTTGTAGTCAAAGAATCTTTCCCTAAAATAAAAAAAAAAAAACAACCCTTCTCTTGAGTCACACAATACCACACATACACCCCAGCACTCCAAAGAGTCAAAAATTTGGCAGGAAACTCACTGGCCACATCAGAAGCTTCAGTTTTTCCATCATGTTCAGGTACCATCCCTGTCAAGTTCAGTAGCTCAGTTTCCAGAGGATTTGAGGGCACTTTGCCCCTCAGCTCTTCTATTGCTGCAAGGATTTTCTCACTGCTCTCCAGAGTAGTGGGCAAGAAAACTGGAACTGGCACCTTTGTAGGCAGGGAGGAAGAGATAATTAGAAAAGAAAAAATGCTGCAAAGCAGCATCAACAGCAATCAACGCTAACGAACTCTACACCCCTCTTCTCAAATACAAAATTAACACAGATTAGAAGCATACCACTTCAGTCTAGGCTAAGAAAAAAATGTTGACAGGTTAGAAAATTAAACATGACAAAATATAGCAGGTTAAAGTAAGAACAGAAGCAACTTTGGAGCTTCAAACCTCTCTGACTAACTTTAGACTAACAGTTTGGACAAATCAGCATCCTGTTTTAGTGGCTTGCCTGTGAAACAGAATTTTAGGAATTCAGGTGGGTTTTTTCTAACATTTGGATGAGATTTGGTACATAAGGGCTAACAAATTTAACTTATTTTCTTTTGCTGGCACAAGGTTCATTTATTTTGCTTTTCTTCCTGCTGTATATCCCACTCTGCCGTCCCTGCCAATACAATCTTTCAGTTTTCCCATTACCAAAACAAATCTTGCTGTTTAATACATATTGAGCAAACTCAAAAGTATCACTCAGAATTGTTCTTAAGTTCAACAGCACAAGATATTCACATTGAAAGCATGTTGATAGATTATACGGAAAATTCAGGAAACATTCAGGACTGTGTCCTGGGTTTGAGTGGTGGGGTTTTTTGGTAGCAGGGGGGGCTATAGGGGCGGCCTCCTGTGAGAAGCTTCTCGAAGCTCCCACAGCTCCAAGTCAGCTCCACCTCTGCACCAAAACTGAGCCAACCAGCTGTGCCTCTGTGATAACTTATTTAAGGGATGTGGTGACGGGCAGTGGGACTGGTGAGGAGGAGTTGCTGCAGCTGCGTGAACACCAAGGTCAGTGGAGGAACGGAGGAAGAAAGGAGGGGGGAGGTGTGCCGGAGCAGAGGCCCCCCTGTATCCTGTGGTGAGACAGCAGGGTGGCCCCCCCTGCCACCCATGAAGATCTATAGTGGAGCAGACACTGATTTATGGCCTGTGTTTTTCACCTGGTTGAACAAGGTGCTGTGCTCGATGAAGGCCGGGGTCTTGTGGGAAAAGGTAGCCCCTCTGTTGTGGTTCAGCGCTGGGAGGATTGCAGCATGTGGGGGTGTCCCACGCTGGAGCAGTGTAGGGAAATGCTGCAGCCCATGGGAGGGACTCATGTTGGGGGGGTTTGTGGAGGACTGTCTCCTGTGAGAGGGGGACCAGGATGAAGCAGGGGGAGAAGTTCCGGAAGTTCCCCCCAGTGAAGATGGAAGAAGCAGCAGCACTGACTGCACCCCCCATTCCCTGTCCCTGCGCCACTGGGGGAGAAAGTAGAGATATTGGGAGCAGAGCTGAGCCCGGGAAGAAGGGGGGAGTTGGGGGGAAGGTGTTCTCAAGATGTGGCAATGCTTCTCACTGTCCTACTCTGTTAAGTGTTGTTAGTGTCTGTAATAAATTATGTTCTTTTTTTCATTTCCCCTAATGAGTCTGCCTTTTGCTCGTGATCATAATGGGTGATTCACCCCTTCCTATTCTATCTCAAATCCCAAGCCTGGCTTTTCCCCTTCTCAGCGCTGGGGGAGGAAGGGGAAGTGAGTGGCTGTGTGGTGCTCAGTTGCCTTCTGAGCTCAGACCACAACATGCTGTCAGATGCTAATGCTTTTTCAATAGACAGTGCTGCAGCATCCTGCAATCCTTTACATAGACCAGAATGAGAACAGTCAACAATACAAAGTGGTCCCACACATACATGTGAATGGATGCCAATTTAAAAATGAAGCTGAAGTCTCACTTACAGGAACAGGAACCGCTGTAGGAACAGGAACATTTTGACTATACATGTTCATAGGCACCGGAACATAGACAGGTACAGGAATAGGCACTGGGACATACTCTTTTTTCCAATCATCTTCTATTAAAAGAAAAAAGAAAAAGGTAAACACTGCCAGGCACTTAAATATATTTTACACTTACAGTTTAGGGAAAAAAATCATAATATTTGCAGTATGTTCCAAGACAATAACAGTTAAAAAAATCTGTAGTGAAGAAATGAGTAGTACCAGTACAGTTCAAGAGTTACCTGTCTGACAAGATTTTGTTTGCATATGAGGTTTACAGTATGTGGCTTTCGTCATTGTCAAAGGCTTGCAAAGAACTGCCTTGTTCTTCATTTCTCTGTTAGGTGTTGGAGAAGGTGGTGGTGCTGAGCCCTACAGACAAGAAAATAAGAGAATGTGCTGTTGCACCACACTGATTTCAACACCAAGTTCTTGATTTAATATATCAGTTGATATTTTTCATGTACGAGATACTGAAGAGGAAGCCCAGGACAGTACAACACAATAGCACCAACTATTATTCTTTAATTGAAAGCTAGTCTAAATTTCTAGTAATGAGCTGCCACTGCCAGGAATGCAACATAGTTGCATTTTGCTCAGTCAGTGCTAGCACTTGATTAACAACTTCCGGCTTATTTTTGTTTTTCCTTTTTTTTTTTTTCTTCCTTAAAATTTAAGATACTCAAGATTTTTTTTTTTTTACATTCTTGTTTAAATGGAAGTGCAATTTAAGCTATTTTATAACCTAAAAAAATAATCTTAGCTGTAAACAGAATTCACTGTAAGTAACATAGTAAACTTTTGGCTCAAGGCCTAAACTTTTTGAACTATGTTAATAATCCAAAGATCACATTTTTTGAAAAATATATTTCCAAATTTTGCTTCTAAACAATTTTTTAATACCTAAAGTATGAACTTCGAGCTCCCCCTGCTGGCTCTACAATAGTGACAACAAATACTATGGAACATCACATAATGCTCAAACTGCATCCTTACATGTCAACAGGTAAAAACACTCTCGTTATAGACATGGGTGTTGTCCCATAGGATCTGTTTTAGCACCTCATTTATGAAACAGTCTGTCACTTTTATTTGGCCATGTGTAGTAGAACTAGCCCCACATATCCTTTTAAATATGGAAAGAAAGTCACGGAATCATACACTTTGGGTTGGAAGATCATCTTAAAGATCGTCTAGTTCCAACCCCCCACCATGGGCAGGGACACCTTCTACTAGAGCAGGTTGCTCAAAGCCCCGTCCAGCCTGGCCTTGAACCCTTCCAGGGAGGGGGCAGCCACAGCTTCTCTGGGCTACTTGTTCCAGTGTCTCACCACCCTCGCCGTAAAGAATTTCTTCCTTACATCTAATCTAATCCAATCTAAATCTACCCTAGTCGTAAGAACAGCAGTAGACTATTTAACAGGCATACGCTTTCTAAAATATAAAAAACACTGTACAACAAATAGCTTTTATATGTTTTTTTTTTAATTTATGGACAGAATTAATATCACTGGAAGCTATTAAACATAAAATACTAGAGGTTTTTAACCTGACCATTTAGCTTGTTTGATGTCTCTGGTTACCTAAGCAAACTTACTTTGGGTGATTTTCACTAATATATTTTATAATGCCATCAAAATACTTGCACTTAAATCTAAGATTTAACTTACAGGAACCTATTTGAACTACAAAGTTGAGTCAATTTTTTCATGGAAAAATAGATGCTTCTGAGATTTTCCATGAGACAAATGAATCAAAACAAAACACACTAAGCTAAATGAAAAAAATTATTAGTAGTAACACTTTTGACAAGCTGACAAAAACTGAAACTCAGAATGAAGTCTTGCTGCTCCACTCATGATCCCAACCCTCCCAGACAGGGATCCTGCAAAAGGTGACACTTCCCTACTCTGTCACCTGCAGCAAAGTCAATCTGACCTTGAGCACCAATTCTTCTACTCTTAGGAATTATCATTTATGATCTGAAGCTTTATTTTCAGCCTTTCAATGCTGAGATACAACCCTAATATTCTAATTGATCAGTGAAATTATCTTCCCTTTATATCCTCAATAAATACACCTCATCAGTCTAAACGTGAATAAGATACAGTTAGTGGATTAATTTTTAAGCAACACTTTCATGCACTGTAAGTGTGTAAAATACATGGATGATGATTTGGTTTCCCAGAAGACACTGAAAAGACAAAATATGAACATTTAAAAGTTTAATTTCAACTACTGATGTGAAAAAGACTAAAAAAAAAAACCCCATAAATTTAGCTTAGTATCATTCAAAAATACTATTTTTTTGTTTTTTAATAGCATCTCTTTAAGCCACCAGGATCTCACATTTCAAATACCTCTAATTATGTTCTATATATGTTAAACATATGTACTTACTGTTAATTTTGTTCGGGGGGTTTGACAGCCCTGATCTAAAAATGTAAGAAGAGATTTTTAGAATTTTTTTCCCTTTTTCAGCATCAAAGCAAATTTCAGTAAGCAGCTTGGACAATGTCTACCATCAGGATAACATTAAATTAACAGCACTGATTAGTACTGTATCACAGGTAAGAACTGCATGCAAGACTTATTACTCATATGCACCTTACTACTCTGGCACTGAACCTTACACAAAGGCAAACACTACATCAATGCTCCATCCAGATGTGAATATAGCCTCTTTCAGAAAAGTAAATACTAAAATGTTAAAATATGAGAATGGCCATACAGAGAAGTTGTGTTGCTATAATTAACACTAATTAAAAAGTGGATTTATTTGAACTTTGCCTGACTTGCCATTTAAACCACATAAACATGCAATCAGACCCCATCAGCAAATTTACATGGTACCTATTGCCAACAGAATGGAAAAAAAAAAAAAAAAAAAAAAAAGAATGTATTTCTCTTATCTAGATACTTTCATTCCATTCTCTTTTAGTTTCTATTTAATTAAATTTATTTTTTTTTATTCCTAGTGCATTTATCTGTTCTTTGTAACCCAAACACACTTTGAAAAGAAGTATTTCCACAGAGCAAGTAATGACAAACTGAAGTACAATGAAAGAAAACATTTTCTGTCCCCATGATGATACAACACTGCAATTATACTTAACCTAAAATTGTTTAAAAACTGATCACAAAACTGTTTGATTACCTGACATTGTTTCAGCTCTTGAAAAGATAAAAAATAGCAAGCAGCTCAATGATGCCTCTGATGATAAAAAAAGGTAGTCTATAACAGAGTTTATTACAGCAAATAAATAATGCATGCAGCTTTAAATTTTTCATTTAAAAGAAGCATCTTCTTTGCCATTTAACAGCCATAAAGCAGCACGTACCATACTGTAAGTTCTCAGGTCCTTTTTGGGTTGCCAGATTTGGTTCATTTTGTTGACAGTAGAAACGGAGCAAACAGTGCTGATCACAAAAGTGTTTCATTTCGCCACGCCACTGCACTTTCTCTTTGAGAGTTCCTTGAGACTTACAACAGTCACATCGTGCAGCCTTAATGCAAAGGAAGATTTCAACATTTTTAAACAAGCCACAGAAAAAAATTATTGCTACATTTTAAAAGGTTATGTTTTTAAGAGTACTGAAGAATCATTACAGCTACATAGTTAAGTCTTTCTCATGTAGGCTCTATGATAGTTACACTACTTTCTAACCTGTGTATACAAGCACATCTGGCACTTTATTTTCAATTCTTTGCTAGGGTTTAACACCCAGAATGAATCTGCTTTGTTTCACTAAGTTTTTAAAAATTGCTCACTTCCAAACAGTCAGCAAAAAAATTAATTTTATGCATCAAGTCCAATGAAATCCACTGAAGCATTCCGCAAAACTAGAGCAGAAAGTGATTGAGAGTCCTTACTGACACTCTGAGGACAAGTAGAGTTGTTTTTTTTTCCTCAAAAAATTTAGTGTTTTTTGTTTTAAGGCACAAACATAAACACTTCTCCAATTAACAAATCAGAGCCCTTTAGTGTAAGTAATTTCTGTATTTTCACTATTTTGGTAGTTCAACAACAATTTTAGATTCCAATTACTTAGTTCAAAGTTTCTGTATGATTTATAAACAACAACAGCTCTCAAACTAAAGAGGTTTCCACAAAATCTAGTTAGCATGTAACTTGAAACTCAAAACTCTGTTCTTCTGTATCCTAAACATTTGGGTAATGTATCTTTCACCAGCTTACATGATAATTTCATGAAGCATCACTAAGACAGACATTGTTTTTCTCCAAAATAGATTCCACTGAATTTAATCAGTCATGATATATATTATCTGAACAGTGGTAATCCGTTTTAGATCTTCGAGTAAGCAAAGAATTGGTTTCATTACTGCGCCCTTTGATACTGCTTGCAACCTCCTAAAGCAGTCCTTAAAGAAAAAAGCTTTATGGATGTTCAGGAATCCAAAATAAATTACCCTAGTAATATAGCCAGAAGAGGGAAGTTGTGATAATATGTAACATAAAACACTAATACGTAAAACCATACACAAGATTGCATAAGGCTCTGATGGCCAAAAAAATAAAAAAGAAAAAAACCTAAACAACTAGTTCTTGCAACTCCAAAAAAGTATAAACAGGCCAATTAGTTCAAATTTTTAAGTAATTAAATGTTGAGTTCCTTTTCTGCACTTGCACAGTCTAGCACTATCCTCTGGCAATATAGGAAGTTCAGCTCTCAGTTGTAATTTTCAAATATTTGAGATGATATATAGAAAGACTCGATTCTAACCATATAACCAGCTTTAGACTGGGAGCAATTAAAGCTGTAGTGTGGCTTCAGGATCACCAAGTGCCAGGTGCCCCTGGAAGGGCAGGTACTTCTCTTCCCCCTCCTCTGTGCAGGTGTCAGCAGTAGTGCTTATGCATCTGCAGGGTACACAAAGTGAAGGACCTTACAGGACTGCATTACCCCCATCCTCCATCTATTTTTGTTACATTTGTCAGTTTGACTTTCTGATGATGCTGATCCACAGTTCATTTTGCAACAGAGATGTTCTCAGGGGGACAAAAGAGCAAGTAAGTTGTATTCCTGGAAACGAGTAGGGAAGATGAAGTGTGGAGTGTTGCCAAAATAGCCTAGATTCATCAGCTGAGGGAAACTGTGAATTCACACCTTTAATGCAAATGCATCCTCCAAAGCCACCAAAAGGCTGAAACACCAGTAGAAAAAAAAGTACATATAAGTCACTCCAATTTTAAATCTCAAGCCCACCTAGTACTGACTGACAGCTGACCCACGTACAGGAAAGTCCACCTATTCTGACCTGCTGCACACCGCTCGACTATCAAAGCACCACTTTCTGCTCAATTTTCTCACTCCTTCAAAGAAAGAAGGTGACAAATCTTGTCAAACGCAGCAATTACAGCCTTCCTGCAACTGTTTTTTCCCTGTCCTGGTTCTTCTCTTTCATTTAGGCCTTTGAGTAACTGTATTATTGTTACTCTTGGGCTGCTAAGTTATTTAGGTGAAAAAATTTTGGTTTGCTTCCACATGGAAATTACTATTCCTTAGCAAGCCCAAGATTCCTTTATAAGGATGCTTAATTTCTCATCCCTACATTTGCTACACTGTAATTCTACCATTTCCATAATCATTCTTGCAGTCAATACCATACACCCATCCACGCACTTAAGTTTCCGACTACCTGGTTGTTCTCCCTGATCACCTGAACATGAAGTCAACTTAGAATGTGAATTCATGATATTCTGCTTTCTCCTTCCTTCTCCTTTCTGTTTATTTTCATTTGGGGTCAGGCATTAGAGGTTAATTGAATCTTCATATCTGCCTTCAAGTCTGCTCTGTGTTTCTAAAAAATCCATCTACACTCTCTATGCTCCAATTGCACACATCTCCTTTGCCACTCATGACTGCTTTTTGGTCCAATTCTTTTCCTAGGTCCAACTTCAACATGTTCAAATGGGCATGGTAATTAGTATAAATCACTAAAGTTTGCCACAAACTTGGTTTAAAAACAAAGTTTTCACATGTGAGGCTTTTATTTACATTTTTAGTCCTTCAATGACCCAGTCCTAAATGTTATCCAATAGTTTAGACTGGTATTAATTTGACATAATCTTAGCTGTCTATTCTGAGTTTAATCCACAATAAATAGGAAGCAAGAGATGTTTCCAGAGAGTGCGTGATTTTGAGAAGAGATCAACTGTTCTGAAACAGTACCTACTTGAAATTGAGATGCCTAATGATACAATGGCTGAATCTGAGCTCACCAGCCACAATCATTTTTCTATGCCTCAGACTGTAGTTCCCCACCTCCTACTTAGTCTTTATGGAAGACACCTGAATACACAGTCATCACCATACATGCTCAGTCCAGTCAATACTCCACTGTAGCCTTGAATAACTGTAAGCACACTTCAGCACTGTTTCACAATGTATATTTAAAGAAACAGATTTCTGTGCTGTTCTCAGAACAGTATACTCTTTTTCAAGATACTTTCAATGCTCTTGTATTAGTAACATCACGATTGAAACTGTCAAACACCAGGCTACTAAAATATTTATACTTAAATTTCCCATGCATTTTTCAGATTAACGTCCAAACCACAGCATGCAATTGAAATTTACAGGAGGAGCTCCAATAACTTAGGAAGCTAACCTCAAGACACCAAAAATTTTACCTCTTGTCTTGGAGGTGCATGGATACCACACAGTAGAAATTTCCTCAGAACTTGGCACCAGCTGGTAACTGTAGCTGTCACCCAACAGATGATTAGGACTGAACTATTCTTTTACATTTCAATCCCTCACACTAGGTTTGAAGAACGCTTCTAGAGAAGTCTGATGTGCTTCTAATACTTTCAGATAACAGTCTGTTGTGCTCCTACCACTAACTTCTGACTTTCTGAGAAGGTAATTTTGGCATTCAGGGAAGTTCTCCCATAATACTTAATTATTTTTAAAAGTTAAGATGTTTTCCAGATAATACTACATAAGAAAGATGTGTCCATAAAAAAAAGTAGACAAAGAAGATGGAGACAAACACTTGTTTAATGAACACAATGCTGGCATTAAAACATTACTAGGTTATTACTACTTATTTCTCTTAACGTATACATTCATTGAAACTCCAAAATAACACTGGACATTGCATAAATGAGACAAAGCTCATACATATGTAACTATTCTTTTAAGAAGCTAACAGACAAAACAGCAAATGAAGTACAAATTCAGGGAGGGGTCCATATCTATTCTGTCTTCCTGTATTTTGATCATTATCTACTTATGGCTAGGTAAGAACATCAGCTAACAATGCACTACCAAATCTAAGGTATCCGGAGGGAGTTATAAAAGAAGGAGAAGTACCAGCAAGGATGTAAAGTAAAAAAAAAGAAAGACAATTTTAGCAAAACACATAATTTCCCAAAAGCTATTACATGTCTTCCCCATGTAATAAATCCCAAACTTTTATAAACAGAACTGAATTAGGAAAAGGCTTTAAGAAGTGTCTGAAAAAAATGACAACCAACAATTCGACATCATGTATCACTAGTTCCACTAGCAAGTGTAAGATTCAAAAGTAAAAATATCTAACACTTCAGTATTATCAAAAGTCACTAGTTACCAGCAAGTCTGTTTAGATTAAAATGCCTTTTCATGGCATCATGCCTAACTTTCCTGTACCACAGTACCAACAGCATTTCTTAAGCAGACTTTATGGGCCAATTAAGTTATTGCCTTATCCCACAGTTCAGAAGGATAACCTGAGTTCGAGTTTTGAAGTGGTTCTCAAACCTGAATTAACAGTACAAGCTTCCATTGAAGTTTATGTACATTAAACTAGTTTGGTATGCACACTCCCAGACTCTACTCTGCTGAATCACCAAGAGATTTCTTAAGCACACCAAAGCTTTATTAAGTTCTCTATCAGAAGGCACTTTCTATGCAGGGAGAAGTTTCACCCCATACCCCAAGTTTTAAGGCATAGAAATTAACTATTATTGTATGAAGTTAACATTTCAGTAAGTTTAAGAACTTTGCAGCCAAGCTTCATCACCCTATTTTCACATGAGACAGAAGAAACACATTTTGGACTTCAGTAGTTTTCTTTCAGGAATGTCTAACAGGACCCTACACACATTATTCAAAATAAAGACTTTACAATGTTTGGCTGTAACACTTCTGGAACCAGCCATTCCAAAATATCAGATATGTCTTCAGATTCAGTTCTTTTATGGTAGGTGGATCATCTTGAATTACAGGACTTGTATCTAGCCCTCTAATATTTCACGCTTTTTATTGCCTTCCAGGCTGTGTACAGAGTTTTGGTAAGGTGATGAGTTTTGTACTGTCTTTTTTGCAATTGCATCCACAAGTGTAGTTCTTGTTTAGGTATTACCAGTGCAGCTTTCCAGGATGTTCACACCAGAGATCAAATATTTAATCCATGGTACTAATCGCAGGTTAAACCCAGTCCAATTTCACCTTTATTTCTTTCAAAAAATGAAAACAAAAAACCTCTTAACGTGAACTCTTTGATGGTTGTGCTTCATAAGGTAGTTAAGCTTCCAGAGATTTAGAAATAGATGCCATCTGTTTGATTTAAACTTTTATTAGAAATCCATTTGGTCTTGCTTTTCCCTTTGGCATCCCTTCCACTGGGAAATACTGAACAATCAAAGCCTCTGCAGTTCAAACTGTGGGAGAAGGGAAAAGGCAAAAAAGGAGGCAAAAACAGGAACAAGAAAAACTCTGCTAACCTAGTTTATCGTCAGTCAACTCAAGGTATCATCCAGCCGCTGTTAACAGTGTTTTCAACATTCTGAATACACATTTAAGAAGTTCTGACAAGAAAAATACGGTATCAATTGAGGAGACAAAATTGGAATTGTAAACTAACAAATATACATAGTAGTTTCTTGTTTTTCTGTAACTCAAGATTTTCTGGCCAAAATAAAATCAGATGGTAGAAATGCTGCTCTAAGATCTAAGAAAACTCAAATGATGAAATTAATACATTTGCTTATTGTGTAGCAAATGCTTTGCTGAAGTAAGCCATATTTGCTGCACAGTCCTTGAGATATCCTCACATGTGCATTTTTGGTTTTTTTAACTGTGGAGCTCTCATCAAAAATTCTGAGTTACTTGCCTTGTAGTACCAGTCCTGAAATTTTTTACAGCACTCTTCACTGCAGAAATCTCTCACTACACCATCAAGTTCCTTAGTTGCTCCCTTTTTGCACAGCTGTGAGCAGTAATTACAAGTAACACATCTCAGTCCTAACCGTCTTGCAAAGTCTTGTTTATATAGCAGCTTGCAGCCTGGAAACAGATTTTAAACATTAGGAACAAAGTAATTTTTACAGAGAGATATCACAGTTGAGTTACATATTGAAAATTAAATGAATACAACAAAAGCTAACAATTGGGGCTTCAGACAAATTCAGGTTGCATAATAGACTATATTTCAAGACATTTTTACCTGAATACCTTTCCTGCACAACTCTATGGTTTCATGTGATGTCTGCATCTTTTCCAAAACATTAGGCTTGAATCTGTGCTTATCAAATCCCTGAATAAACAGTCAGAAAAAAATACGTAATTTTCTTTTCATATAGACCCATGCGAAAGCACTGACTTGGAATTACATTGCTCAGTTACACATCCTCAGAATGCTAGATAACCAGACAACGATGAGCAGAAATGTTAAGGCAGACAACACTATCCACTAAAACAATACTTATCTTCAAGGATCAACTTATTTCTATTAATACTTCCATTCATATTAATACAACAAACCACTTAAAGACAACTCATCAATTTTTAAGAACACTAATAGGGACAAGATGACCTAATAACTGAGGAGTTTCTTAAAAAAAATTGTAACTATAACGTAAGCAATGATCAGTACTGAAAATAATTATACAATGATAGGAGTTTGAGTCTTTTATTTTCTAATTTTCACATCAGGTGGGTTTTTTCTTTTTGCATTCGCTATGCGGTCATAATTTCAAGGTTGCCAGAATGAAAGCTACATTCTCCAATAATCTGATCCTCCCTCAAGCAAATTAGAAAAGACATGTTAACATATTAAATGCATTAAAAAATGAATACTGTAGCTATTAGGTAGGCTATTTTGAGAATATAACGTATTTAAACTACCTCGAATCTAGTATCTATTCAGCTGATGCCTAAACCACATACCATGTGTCTCCATAAATGTGCTAATTTTACAGAAGAGTATGAGAAGATGAAGTAACTGTCTATATTAAACACTGGAGGGATGAGATAACACCTACACCTTAACGTAAGGTACTGCATCTGTTTTCATGATGTCCCAAATGTCACAGTACCAACAAGACCCAAACTCAAGTCTTTCAAGTGCCCACTCTGCTACAGCATATAGTCTAACACATGCAGACTTCTGTGCTTCTTGTAAACCATGTAACATACATGCTGCACTTCTTCTGGCATGCAGAATATAAAAATACTATAATTAGAATATATTCAGTAATTTCAATCAAGTGATTTGTGCTGTTGTCTATTAGGGTAAAATTTCATATATGTGAAACCGAGATATTATTTTAAAATCACTAAAAACACAAGAACACCAAGTGGAAGATGCAGCAAACAGCATCTTTCAAAAACAAAAGGTTATTGAAGAATTTTCACTTGCAATGCTACAAGATTTGCTAACGAATTGTATTTGCTAGCAATGTCAAAACAAGACAATTACAGAATACCAGGCAAATAACACATTGTAGATAATGTGTGTTTTAAACTGGCTTTCTTTTTTTTTTTCGTTATATATCTGATTCTTTAACAACAGAATAAAGAAAATTACTAACACACAAAAACAGGCAATGCAGATGGGAAGTGCCAAATCAAGCAATCATCCTTACAGTGCAACTAAGTTGGATGCTAAATACACTGCTCTTAAAGAAATAATAATCCTGAAGATACGAGTGAATGCAAGTTACTAGTTAAAAGTGCCCACTAAAGCACTGAAAATTTCTTGCCGGTATTTCACCTGCTGGTCGTATCTCGCATTATTGTATGGGGCATCAGATTCTTGCCATTTCTCTACAATTCAAGGTAGTCCAGCACCACAAATATATCCTTCACTTCAGCTCTGCCTTTGAAGAGCCATCAACGTTGCATCGAACTTCCAAGACTGGTAATAGAGGAGTACTTCTAATCTACAATCAGGTAAGCTATGTGTACCTGGCTAACTAGTCCACAAAAAGTTATCAGGCAAGAAATTTTCTATTCTACAGTCAAACATCTCCTGCATCTGACTCATGGAAAATAATGAACAGTGAACATCAAGTAAGGGGAAACAAAAAGTCCAAAATTCCAGCCCTTAAGACTAAGTGCCTGAAAAGCATGGGGTTTTTTTATAGATCATTGACTACACAGCTTCTTGCTGAAGGAGGCCTCTAAAGAAGACAGAAAATCCATCTTTATAAAATTTCAGATGTTGGCAGAAAACTGTTACAACCCTGAAGACTTTTGAAAGAATAAAATGGAAATACAGGCTTTTCTTTTGCAACATCATGAGCAAAATTCTTCTGATTCGCCTGATACATTTTAATGTCTTTGTAATAGGTAACTTAATCCACCTGACCAGGGAATATTTGGTTGCTTCAAGACCTTGTCACTTCAGACAAAGGGAAAACAAAATGTCTTGCTTTTTATAGGATGTATTTTAATTAAGTCCTTGGTACTCTGTTCATACCTAGGATATAAATTTGTATTATAATGATACGGTTTTGATTGGAATAGTAAGACTTCCTTTGAAGTATGGCTTTGGCAAAACAGATTCTGAGCTCAAACAACTTGGTCTTTAAGGTGCACAATGTAAATCCTGAATCAACAGAGCAGTAGCATCCATGCTGGCTTTGTAGATGCAACCAAGAAGTGGGCTTTGACTAACAGTACATTGTGGACGAGCAATACAAAAACCCCTGGTTGTCTGACCTTTCCAGTATCAACACTAAAATCCTGAGGGTTTAGATAGTCTAACTCACCTGGGGACTTGGGGTTCATGAGTATAGCAATGCCTAAGGCAAACAGCTGTCCACCCCAATGTTCTGAACAAGAAGATACAAGTAAAATCCTACGTTCCTCGGGATTTCTGTTATAACATCAGACACGAAGTTACAGTGGGACCAGATGGAAATCTCTAGTGCTTTAAAGTAACTCTAAGAGAAAACAGCTATTAATTTCCAAGAAAAACAGAAGTGCAGGTCATTTGGATCAAGCTACAGAGGTAATCAATAATGTTCTTTAGCAATGCGCTAAGAGAAGACCACCCTGCAAGTCAACTGTCTCAGAAAGACCAATAAGGACCATTTTCAGATGAAGTATATCCAACTCAAAATCTGAACCAAACAAAAAAAAAGTACCTGCTAAATGAACGTATCCTTAATTATGCTATTAGAATTATGGCTTTCAAGGAAAATCCAACAAAAAGCCTATCCCTTCTAACAGCCCTGAACTTTGGTTCTCCACATAAACTGTAGAGAAAGAATATGGATCTGAACACATGCAACAGAGGCTTACTGATAAGACAACATGTAAGCAGTTCCTCCAAACCTTTATTTCAGGTATGTTCCAGGTCAAGAGAGCTTCCTTTCTCTTGAGAGACCCAAGAACTGCTAGGTCCAGCTCCGCAGAGCTACCCATGGTAAGAAACATGCTTCACTTGACTGTCTTCACACTCAGGGCAAACAAGCCAGCAAAAACCTGATCCTCTTCTACCAGCAGCACCTACCTGAATTACAGTTAGTTCAATCCATTTACACATCAAGCAGCTGTGAAAAAAGGAATTGCTGAACGAGAAACAACTCCTGAGTTCTCAACACCAGTGTCCTTTTACCACAGCGAAAACACCTTTTATACAAAGTAATTGTTCCACCCTAAAAGCAATTCGTTTTTTACCTCCGAAAGTCTGTACTTACTGGACTATCTTTCTCCTCCTTCAAGCTACATACAAGATTTGCTGTTCTCTCATCTTGTAATAACTTCAACTGTTAACCTTTAACAACTTCATCTAGAGAAGAACAACAGGCCTGACATACTGCAAGCCTGTAGGATCAAGAAGCCTGTAGCATCACAAGCTGGGTCTTGAAGATTTCTGGAGTTATGTTCCATTCACATCTTTCTGCTGCCTCCCTCTGTACTGATTCGAATACAACAGCCACCTCTTCCATACCCACATTCATCCATCCGCTGTCTCTGGCTTCACAATAAACATCACTATCCTTAGGAAAACAGACGCAATGCATTCAATTTCGGGTCCTGCTTGGATTACCATTATAATAGACCCCATCCTCTTTGTGTAACAGAGAGGTTGTGTATCCCACTTCCTTTCTTGTTTTCTGCTTAAGAACCTTCTATTATTTTAATAATAACTCAAGCACCTCAAAATCCTTCCAAAGTTGACTTTCACTTTTCCACTAATATGATTTGTAGGAAAGAAGTACCTTCCCTCAGTAACAACATGACTCTTACAATTGTGAAAAGGCATTTTTATGAATAATACATTTTGCAGTATTTAAGGCATGTTTTGCTTTTCATTTATCCCCTTCTACCAGGATATTCCAACTCAGCACCAAATAAACTTTCAGAAGAAGGCCACAACATAGCTCGTATTTCAGGTTAGCATTTATCTCAGATGGACACTGCCAAAGGAAGTGGGTGGTCAGAAGCAAAACTAAACTGTCCACCAACATAGTAGACTAAAGCAGAAAAAGGCATCATAGCAAGCACCAGTTATTTTAATATGGTAGGCCACTGTCAGAGCTACAGAGAAGGAGATAACAGCTTTGTGAAGCACAAACCTGAGAGCTTGTAACAGAAGATATTTATTATGCAAAACACTTAACAGTGATATGAAATTTCACATATCCTAAATATATTTTTTTTTCTCTAACTACATTCTATACTACTTACCAATCCTTGATAGCTTTATGAGGTCCTATTGCAAAGTAGCATGCAGCTAAGTTGTAATTAAGCCAAAAAATTTTTCATAAAAATGGGTACTTCAACACTGTCTTCAAAAATTTCCGTACACTAGCCCGAATTCTGTACATTCTACTTTTAAAAGGTGTATCAGTGTCTAAAAATAGATAGTTGATAATGTAAACTATAAAAACAGCTGTGTTTAAAAAGTTTCTGTAGCTCTCACGTTTAGCAATAACAAAATCAATCATCAGGAAATAAGAGATTCAAGTAGGCTTGATGGCAACCCACTTTACCTTGGTGAACACAGCAGCTCGGCGCAGCAGGGCCAACATACCAACCTTTCCTCAGGGCCGGTCTCCACGTACTGGACAAGCCCAGCAACTATAACTAAGTCTTAGCAACATTTCATATCACACATCAGTTTTGAAACCAGTTTGTTCATGTTTCTAGTAACTGAAACATTCATATGTAAGCACCTGTATAGAATTCAACACACTCGTGTTTGGGCTATTCTTAATATCTGTAATGCTTTCATATAAATCTAATCAACTAAACAACAGTATACCTCATTGAACAATCCACTGTGCAGCAGTGGTTGGAAAAATGCCACTCTAAAATCTACATCTTTCCTAAACGTACTCAGATTTGAAATCACTCAATTTCTTAAATTTCTTTTTCCACTTGGCAGCTCTACAGTATGTTATCTCTACTTAGATGAAGTATCAGAATTGTCTACACGGAGTTTAATTTGCAGAATCCATAATTCCCAAAAACTTATTAGCATACCATCAAGATGATAGTAGTTGCTAGTTTCACAGCTGTATTTTATCTGTGTTATCCATTTGAAAGGAACTCCAAAGCATCAGATAATTGAATTACTCCACAACTTCCTTTCTCCTTCCAAGAAGCAGACTACTGGATATGAATCAGTGTTATTAAAATTCACATTCTAAAATTATTACAAAGTCTGTGTTATTTAAGTCGTAAGTCCACAAGTAAAAAAAATTATGGTGATACTCATCAAAAAACAGTTCCACTGCTGGATTGCCAAAGACTGATTTGCTCTCCTAGACCCTCAGAAAGGATAAACATTAAAAAAAAAACACAAACCAAAACTCAGTAACTTGAAGGATTAAAAACTTGCACAGCCTATCCTCAATTGTCACTCATGCCACTATACATACATAAAAATCCACCAGCAACTTTGATTCTCTTGCTTTAGCATATACAATATCTATCTTATTTACTTTAGATACGTGGTGTTTTGGAATGAGGCATTCTAGTGGCAAAACACTAGGACAGTTTAGCTTCCAAAGCCTCAGCACCAGGTGAACAGATTAAAGTCTTTCAACTGGTCTGTTCAGGTTGTTCATCCTCCACATAGCATCTGATTTTTGAACAGAAACAGAAAAAGCATACTGTACTTCACAAAAGAATTAGTAACCATCTTTAGCACAAATGATAGGTCATTTCTATTTCCACTTTATTGCAATGGAAGTTTCAGCTGGTCACTGCACATATTCTTAAATATCTCAGGAGAAATATATAAATAAACAGAGTTGGAATGAAACTGCACAGAAATACTGATCCCAGAGACTTTAATGTGGGTGCCAGGGTTTGTGTGCAGGTATATATGTATGTGCATGTGTAAAACAAACTTGGATATGAAGAATGTGAGTGGAGGAATAACATCTTCAGTACTACAGCTAGGCAAGCATAAGCTGTCAAGGGCTATTTGTGGTTTATCTTATATATGCTTTCCCATCAGTTTGCTTGAAGACAAACAAATAAGCACTCTTGCAGAAATTTCAAACACCTGTTTCACTTCTTCTATAAACACACACCTGAAAATTTTCCAGTATTTTCCCTTGCGAGTTCCCTTTCCTCCAAAAACGCCAGTAACTTTTGTGACTGAGCACCTTAGGTTATTTCTTCTCAAATTGTAATACATTGTCTTCTGGTGATGAGTAACTGCATGCTCAACAAAATATTCTAGGTTGGTGAAGTTTCTTAAACACTTTGCAATAGCAAAACCAGCATGGCCTCCATATCCCAGAAGTTTATTTGGTCCATCTACTAGTTTTTCTACCTTATGAATGGTTGGACATATTTCTGGAAAAAGGCTATGACATCAAGGAAAAACTAGTGGTGTTTGGGTGCCTCGAAAATGGGAAAGAGAAATCTATCACCTCTGATAATGGAACTTCTATTTGTTGACCTCCACTCAGTCCATCCAAAGACCTGTCCGTCTCCTCCCCACATCAGGTCTGTTAACTCCTGGATTCCACTATTTCTGCAGCAATCAATGACAACCATTGGTTTTCCTTTAAAATACGGGGTCTAGGTTGTTTCTATAGAGCTTCTGTCGAGGTCAGCAGTTTATTTTCATTGCAGTAACACAGACAGCTTTTTTTCATATACATCACAAAGAGACCTAAGCTACAGCTAGCAGATGTGTGCCATATTCATTCAAGTTACATTCTACACAATGGTGCTTTGGCTACCTCTTCTCTATTACTCAGTGGTTCAGATCACAGTAAGCTGATAAACTTTGTTTTAATGGTAACATTTGGTGTATTCATCCTCATAAAGATCATCTTTGCTTTCAAGTTGGCAGTCCAACACATGCAAACTCAGGACCCACACTAAGACATCAGAGAGTGGATTCTCCCCATTTAGTAACTGCATTCATGTAGGAGAGTGTTTTTATTTCTTCCCTTCCTCAAATTTTGCAGTAGGAAATACAAGTCCTCACTTATTTCAAGCCTCCTGGTACAGAAATATATTTGTGGAAGTAGTAATATGGCATAGCTCACATTATGAACATTACTGATTTTGTTGTGACAGCCACCAGGCTTTAATATTAGGGAGTCATAAGTATTCACAGTAATACCAGCACATACTGTAACTCCAGGCAAAAAAAAAGTTTGCTCTTGACTTTGAATATATTCTGTGGAATTGTGTTATTCACAGAAACCATTTCTAGCTAGATGTTATAGAGCACTGCAATGATACACTATAAAACTGGGCTTTGCTTTGTCCTTTTTTCCTCTCCAGCTATCACTCTGCAGTCCAGAACACACGAAGAAAGTAATGATGGCAAAGAAACCTAAGCCACCACACTCCATTTGTTAGAAACGAGTCCAGCGCTATGAAGGAATGGCACGGAAGAAAGTCTGCCTCCAGTCCCACACTCTACCCCTCTCCAGCTTAACAGGATCTTCCTACAAGTAAATTGGTACATCTGTTTAATCTGCGTGAAAGCAGAGATAATCAGCAAGGTTTATCAAATGACAGCAAAAGTATTATTACAATAACTAAAGAAAAATAATATTCACTATATCCTCCAGAGGAGTCATCCAAACTCCTAGTTAAACTTCCAAAACGAGGATTAAATACCAGTATCTAAGGACGACTCACCAGAAGTGGAAAGAATAGGTTCTTGTTACAACTCTATTTTGTTCCTTCTAATAAAGCAATATTTTAATGCAGTCTAAAATAATCCTATGCCCATATACCTCCTTTTTAGTTTGTTTTCTTTTTGAAAATTCAAACCATTAGTCAGGAAAATTATAATCACAGTAAACAACATACATCAACAGGCATCATTCAAGTTATTGCTTGAATAACCATTCTAAGGCAACACCGAATTTCCACCGTTGTATTAAATTTTGAAAATATTAATCAAAAAGAAAGCTTGGTATTCCTCGATGCAGTTAGTTTTGTATAGGTTCTGCTGCATAAATTTCAAAGTAAGAATTTATGTATCATTTTTTGTGCATACATATATATATATATATATGCATGTGCATATATATGTGTATGTATTTCTACACACACTTAAAGAGTGTTGCCCACTCTTCCTTAAGCTGGAGTAAAGCAGCTCAGATAAATTAACAGGTACATGTACTAATAACATGTACATGCACTTCATTAAAAATAATAAAGTTCTGGTTTAGCCCCAAATACAGCAGAATGAGTTGTTATCTTAAATTTTAACATTAAATATTAATATAGTAAGTCAACTGCAGTAAAACTACAAAGACCAATACCTTAGGAAAAAAAAAAAAAAACAAATATGTACATACCTTCACTACAAAAGGGTCTTTTGATGCCAGAGAAATTCACCGTCTCATGCAGCGTTTTCTCTTCCTGACAGTATTCACAGTATGTAACTATGCAGTGCAGTTTCTTATAATCATCAGAACATGCTCTGCTGCAGAACTGATACACTTTGTTCTAAATGCAAAGTTGCAAAGCATCATGAATAGGGTTAATAGATAAAATCTTATGGTCTGCATAGTGCAACTTTAAATAATATTTTGCCATTAGGACACAACTATAACATGCAAAGTAAACAGAAGTGCAAAACACACCATTAGGGTGAGACTTCAAATTCTAACAGTGAAGAACTCTCACTCAAGATGACAGTGTGCTACAAATACTCATAATTTCATACGAAAATGCTAAGCAGAAAATATGCCAATCAATCTTAGCTTATCCTCTCCAGATACTTCTCTCAGTTCATAGAAGTGTAACAATGGTCTATTATATCTACAGACATACAATAACTGAAGATGAAAGCAGATTTCAAACTTAGAACTGATTTGAGAAATAACATTCTTTAAATTCCACAGATGCTTTTTGTATTTGTTATTTATGAACAAAGACTTCTGCTTTTATCCATACTGAAGTTAAATGACATTCTACAGAACCAGAATTTTATCAACTTAATTTTTTAAGCTTCGGTACCTTATGAAATAGCTATCTAGAAAAACTGTATTGGACTTACAGGTTTAAACTTTTAAGCACTTCATCATAATTTTAAAAATAAGACCAAAAACCCACTTACCTCCCATTCCAGTACTTCTGGCTTTGAACAAAATGAACTTTTGCAATAATTACATTTCAACTGAATATCACTGGGAGACACAAACTGACCATTTGTTGAAGACTGCACACTGAGAGTCTGAAAAACATAAATATACATACACATAACTAAAAAAGAAAGTTACTTTTAAAATGTGTTTTTTCAATTAAGCCTACAGTATTTGAGAATTTGGGAGTTTATAAACAAACTCAGGAGCATTTCTGGTAAAGGCACAGAAGGTCAGTCTTTTTTCGTAATTCTTCTTCTCCCATCATCTCAGGTTTTCCAATCTCGAATCTTTACCCTTGCTTCCACTGTAATTATGTTTCATTTACCTTACCCTTCTAATGCCTGGTACTTAAGGGTAATTATAAATATGCCAAAAAAAAAGTCTCCCCAAACTGAACACCTGCTAATCACAAAAGATGTATTTTCAGTTAAATACATTTCACAGCTTACCTTATTTTGGTCACAGAAGTTCAAACAAAGACCTACAACCAAATAATTTCAAATCCAAACCTCACCAAGGCAGATTACAAACACCTTACCTGAGCATGCTACTTGAAAATACAAATACTATGATAAAAGGCCTTCAGTGAGAAACCCTGCATCTACTCAGGTTAAGAATAAACTAAACTAGCTAATAGTCCTAGGAGGCCTCAATCACCATGGCAGGATGATGTAATCATTCAGTCAGCCCCTAAACAATTAGGGGTTTTCAGACTGAGAAAAATACAACGGATTGCATGTGTAGGTATGAGAATTTAATTCTGTAACTGAATAATTCACTTAATGCATTTCTGATGCAATCAGTAGATAGAGAACTCAATTTTACCATATCTGTAGTTTTCCAGTAGGTCTTATATGCCTACAGAACAGTCTTTTGCATGTCTCTTAGATCAAGCAACAACTATTGATATATTATGCATGCAATATTCAAGACAAAATTTGAATCAGTATTGATCACAGTCACTTGAAGAATACAGACAAATTTCTTCCATTTGTTCTCAAAACACTTTCTGACATCATTTACAACAAGACAAACATATTTAAAGGCACGTTCTCTTCAGACAAATTTGTCACAACCTTTCCACCTTGTAACAGTGAAATGTAAAACATTTCTGTTACAGGATACTTTTCTTCGGACTCTCATATTACTAAGGGTTCACATACACTAAAAAAAAAAAAAAAAAAGTGATGAGACTGATTACTGATATAAAACCTCACATAAGTGGACCAATACTGCTGAGTGCTAGATAGCAGTGCAAACTGTATCATTTTATGCAGATGCACTAAATCAGGAATTTGCAGACATGAAGTTATGCACATTTCCAAATCATGGACAGGACCTGAGAATAAAATGCCCTATACAGCAGAAAAGCTGCCACCTTTATCCCAATGGTCCATTGTCCTATAACAACTTTAACACAGTCTGATGCCCACATAGAGTACTGTCATATTTGTCCCCACTATACCCAGCAAATATCCCTGTGGTTGAGAGAGGTTTGCTAGACTTTGGCTGCTCTAAATAAGACAGCTGAAGACTTGTACTAACATGGGAGCCACAAAGGCATTTTAAGGTCAAGGTTCAATTTATGCATTTCTGCAGTTGTATGTTTCTTCACAGAGCAAACACCATGCTCAACACGTGCTGTCATGTGGGCTATGTAAGCACAATGAAAGTCCTACAAGTTCTGGTTGAAAAGAAGAAATCAAGAACCAAGTATACGCACCACCTCCAGATCAGAAATTAAGGAAATGTCAAAGAACTAGCAGATGAGACAACTTGTACAGAAACACTGAAGACAGAGGGAGGAATGAAAATGAAATATATTTTAAGTACTCATCACATGAAAAGTGACCATTTTTTTAAGTCTGTAATTACCTTTAAATATGGGGCCAAAACACCCTATTGTGAGGGCTACAAGTTAAAAGTAAAATATGTTTTTTTGTTGTTTTCTGATGTATGGCACTGTTAGCTTTTTTTATTTCTTTTTCCAACCGTTTGCTGTGGTAGATATTTAGGCCCTACATAGTCTAGGGGGCTTGCAATTGAACAATAACAAAAGCTAGAGCTGTGAGAACAACGGAGTTTGAGACTGTTTAAAATAAAAGCTTGTTTTAAAGAATATTTACATCTAACTGTAGATTTAAAAAATCTAAACAGTTTAAGCGTTACTGTTTCTAAAACAAAACCAATGTTTCTTATCATAAACACTCCCAAGGTCAACTATTTTCTCACAGATATCAGTGAAGAACTGAATTCATATTACTGAAAGCTCTACACCAAGCAGAAGATGGTTGTAAAACCAACAGTTAATCACAATGCAATTTTGTATGCCTCCTTAAAGTTTCTATTATTCCACTTACAATTGAGGACTGCTTCTGTATTAGTATTTTAATGTGTTAAGATGACCCGTACATAGTATTTTCATCGTCTTGCTTTGCCTCCATGCTTTGAAAAGAGAGTATCTTTAGGAATTATTTGCAGCAAAAAGATTATAAATTCATTGAGATCTTTCACAGGTCACCTCAAACTGAAAGGTTTTATTGTTGTTGTTCTTTATCAAAGATATATTTGAAATCATATATATATATATATATATATATATATATATATATATATATATACACACACACACATACAAATATATGCACTCTTTTGGATATCTTAAATTCAATCCAAAACCAGCTATGTTTAATCTCACTTTTCTTGAGCCTGCCCTGAACAACAAGAGCATAGGAAGTGCCAAGCAAAACAAAAAATCATAGTAAAAGTGCTTTTCAGCCTTCAGTGGAACCACCTCAAACTGCTCTAAGCTGCCAAATTACTAATGAACAGTAGGCGGACACAGCCTGGGATTCTTCTGAGAAGACCAGCATAGTAGCACAGCTTCTAGTCTGCCCCTGCCACCAGAACATAAGTGATAGAGGGATTATCCTTGCTCACAGCATCACAAAATCAAATTGTGGCAACATTTCTGTACATAAATGCCTAAGTGAAAGGGCTAGTAGGCAGCTAGACTGTGGTCAGTTTTATTCAAGTTAAGATAAAAATAACTTTGAAAGAATCAAGTTTTTCTTAATGTGAGAGAGAAGCTTATACGTATGAGGAATCTTTCACATGAGGTCATTCACTAAGACTGTTCTGCAAGGAAAATCAAGGGTACTGAAGTAAATTGTGAAGGAATCAAACACTCCCCTTACACTCATGAACACACGGACCTTCCAGCCTCAGCATGAAAGCCTCAATTATTTTTATTATGATCAAATTTGGAAAAGTATTTCTGTGTCAAGCATGTCGAGCTTCCTCCACATTTCCCACTGCAAAACACTCCTTTTTTTAAACATGTACGTGTGTGTGCAAGAGATGTAAGCTATATAACAAAGAATACTTACAGACACCATGATGGTGGTCAAAGAGAACACAACATTAGTGAATAATCAGAGTAACCTGATAAAAGACACTGTACTTATAATTCTTACACATACTGGATCTACAACTCTCTAGATATATCCATCAATTGAAAAAAAAAAAAAAACCAAAACAAAACAGAAACAAACAAACAAACAAAAAAATATCAAAGCTTTTGCACAAATTTTCTGAAAATTTTGCATAGACTCATGTTTTGCAAGATAGCTGGTACTTTAAAACACTTCTACAGTTGTTAACTTTGGGAAGAGACTTGTACTACAGCCTCCATGTTCACAATAAATACACTGGCAGTTTATTTTTCCTTAAGAGACAAGTTCAGACCAGGATCTTCAACTGACCCAGTATAGGTATCAATATCAAAAATGGCTTAAACCAATACAACTTCAGAAAGGTTCTGTCCTTAATTCTGCAATAACAACCTCCAAGACAGAGCATGAAAGAAGACAAGATACAGTCACATTATTCTACCACCAACTACCAAGCAAAAAAATCTCATCAGTCAGGCTATTCTCCTTCTTTTACTCTCTCACAAGGATTAATGCTCTTGCAAGCTATCTGCACAAAAGAGAATATAGATATGGACATCAGTTGCACAACAAGCAGCTCAACTAAACTTCCCAAATATTTTAATACGTTAAAAACAACAGTTACAAAAGGTTATTCATGAGATAAAATGACAATCAACCCTAAAGTACAGTTAACAAATTGGGAATTTAAATATTCCAACTCATCTGTAAACCAAAAGGACTAAGATTTTTGCAGAAGGGAGACATAGACCTGAAACAACAGTTATTCTGTTCTGAGAAGGGTAACCCCTAACAAAGAAAAATGTATAGGAAGGATAGGCACTGTAAGAAAAAGGGAAGAATATAATACCAGAAAATTAAAATGGGTTACCTGCATTAGTAAGCAATGAAAAATATAGAGCATCATAGTAAATCAGCCATTTATTTCAAAAGATCATTGCAGAAAGCACTGCAATTGACCAAGAAGATTAAACCATTTTCTCAATTTAGGTTCAATCTCTTATGTGTCACTTAGGTATAAAAAAATCCACAAGGGAACACATACAGTCTAACACTCACATTGTGGTATGCCATCCTTTCCACCTAAATACTAAGTGAATGGAAAAAATATGCTGTTCTCATACAATCAACTCTAATCTACTGTTGAATGCATTTTATTCTTCTGGACAGTGAATATATGAAAAATATCAAAAAGTTAGAATCCGGCAGAGATGTTTGAGCAAACTAACTGCAAGCGACCATATACCGGTTCTTGGTCTTTACTGGCAACTCACAGACTGTGTGGATGCTATAAACTCCACTACAACATTAGAGAGGCAGATCTGCAGATCTGCCAGAACTGCAACAGAAGCATCAGCAAGGTCTCAGCAAGATTAGAAATCCGTAACTAGCATCAACTGATCTGGCAGTTAAATTCAATAGTTGCGTAATGTTGACTTATCTGCAAATCCAAGAAGGCCCAGGATGCATTTGTCATTCACTAGCTTTATTTTTCTCACTCAAATACCAGAAAGGTTTTGTTCTGAGAGCTCTTGGTCTTAAAATTGATTGCAGCCCCATGTAGAATAAAACAGACGCCAAATGAGTTTGCAACAAGTATTATAGATTTGTCATTACCTACTAACAATCTGCACCTA